GCACCAGCCGCTGAGTTTATTGGGGATTTTTTGTGTTCTGGGGGTTTTGTTGTGTTTTAATTTTTATTTTTCCCCACCTCCTGCTGCAATGACTTGGGCAGAGCATGAAAAAGGCTCAGTGCTGACCCCAACCCATGTCATTCCAGTGCCCCGTGACCAGAATTAGGCCCACAACTGTCTTTATTTGGGGTTGGTTTTTTTTGCTTGGTTATTTTGCTGTGCGTGATTTGAGGCCACCGACAGGGATTTCTCCTCCCATCAGCAAAGGCTGCAATGCCTGGGCTGATACCGGCACAGACAGCTACTGCGATGTGTCTCAGGTTAAAATAAAATAAGTAAACAATTCAAAAAGCCACTAAGTGCCGCGATCTGCTGCTGAAGGGTTTCATCTGGCTGTCACCTGCCCATGGCTGCAACCGGCTCCCTCAGCCAAGGTCCACAGGGCACAAGGTGACATTAGTGGGAGGACTCACACGTGCCGGGCAGCACATACCAGGGGAGCAGCACCATGCTAACCTTTTACCTGGCGCAAGCACCGAAACCCCGCAGGTCACATTGCACGGGCGCTCGTTAAACCCATCATCGCCTGGCGCCTCGGTTGGCTCCGCGTGGCTTTGGCGAGTCCCTGGTGCCAAACGTGCCAAGGGTCTTGTTCTTAAGTCTGCACCCCAGGAGGGCGGCCAGAGATGGCAGATAAGGCTTGTTTACGTGGCAATGATTCCCCAGCTCTAACCAGGAGCATTTCCATACCGTGCTCAGCCTCCAAAAATTCCAGCATTACCTACTTGGACACGAAGGGTTGCAAAACCCAGCTCACCCTTTCCTTGCCCGTGAGCAGAGATTCCATTCCCTATGGCTGTACCTCAGGAGCACCCCAGCCTGTGCTGCCCCAGCTGGGAGTATTGTGTGCCCCAAACGCCTTTATAAGAGGCAAAGGGAAGAAATCCTCAACGTAGGGGCACAAGGAAATACATTCCAGGTTCACAGAAGTTGTCTCTTCGACATCCTATTTCAGATGACTTGGCTGTCCCCAAGGCCCCTCACTACAGCTACAGGGTGGTGGGACACCTCCTGCCAGCACATTGTTCCCCAGTGTTTTCCTCACCCCCTTCCCAGGGATTAACTGCAGCTTTGCAGACGCTGCCACACCCGTGTCACTGCCACCACACGCTTTGCTGCATCAGTGTTTTGTCATGAAGTAGCCCAGGTTTAACCCAATGAGACCTCCAGTCTCACGAAGCTGCAAGTGATGGAGTAACCACATGCAGGGGTGTCTCCAGCTCTTACTGCTGAGAGCTGCAGCAACAGCGCCTCCGTGTCCACAGCAAGGGAAGCAACGGAACCCGATTCTCGCTGCCCGACGGTGGCAAGGGACAACACCTGCCCCACACCAGTGGCCCTACAAGCAGCAGCCATCCACCGAAACTCCCTGCACACCTTCCCCCTCGTTCTTCGAGATGTCTCCTAACTGGGGGCCCTCCAACAAGTTAAAATAGTGATGGAAGCCGAGTGCTGCCTCACTGCTGTCCTCCAGCAGAAAGAGACACAAGCCACAATGCATTTAATTTGCTTTTATTTAATTAAAAAAAAAAGTCAAGGTCATTGCAATCCCATTTAAATACAGAGATTTACAAATAGGTCCAAAACAGGACTAAAATATTCTTTGAAACGCTGTACTTTTAAATATTGTGCTTTCATAGATACATAAGAAAATTAGCATATAAAAATACTTTACAAGGAATACACTCTAATATATGGATAAAAATACACATTTAAGTAATGCATTTCATCTTCATCTCATTCAAAATGCATAGGAAGGGATACAAGGACCAAGTTTTTCTTTCTTTTTTTTTTTTTTTTAAAGCCTTTAATAAAAGTCTTCATTAAAAACCTATGAGAAGCCCCAGTGAGCTTCCACTGCTCAGGATATTGCATATAAAAACACTTTCGGCTGCACTGTCAATGCTCCACAGTATCAATTATGGCACATTATCTAGTTGTGGCAGCAATGGTATGGGATATTGCATACTCAAAGAGAAAATGGCTACAATGACAAATAGCAGGATGGAGCCGGGCACGTGTCTGGAAGAAACACCCTGATACGTTGCGCTACCGCAGAGGGACAGAGTCGCAAAGCAGCTCGGGGACGGACAGCAAGGGGATGAGTCCTGGCTTAGGAAAATGACAAACGTGCTGTACACCCATCCCAGAGCCCCGGCACGCAGGCAGGGATGGAGGAACCGAAAGGTCAAGTGGGGAACGGGGGGCAGTGGGTGCTGGGGCTGCGGTGTCCGACTGAGTGAGCTCCTCATCTCCACCACGCCCGACCCTTCCCAGGGGAAGCGACGCCAGGCTCACACCATCGCCGGGACACGAACATCATCATAAAGTGCTAATAAGTGAAACATGGCAGGCAGGCGAGGAAACCAATGCAAACATCACTGCCCCCCTTCCCCGCGGGGCTGGGGGCTCTTGGGAGGAGGGGAGCGACCATGGGGTGTCATGCCTGCAAAACCACATATTAGACAGCGACAGGCAAAGGCAGAGGGACGGGGGGCGAGCAGATGAACCCGTGTGAGCACACACACCGCCCAGCCCATGCACGACATGGGGGACACAACCTCCACCTAACAAAGGGCTTCTCATGCCACTGCCTGAGGGGAGACAACAAGGTTTTATTAACTCAAGACATCAGGGACAGCCCCGGGAAGATCGCTATTTTGCTATCTACTTGGGTACACAAGTCAGGTTTGCAAGCAAGAGATCTCCATAAAGCCCAGACAAACAAGGTAGCTGGGATTTGGGCAGGTATTGAAGGCCTTTAGCCTTGGGTAGGGCCTTCTGCCCTGTAATAACTCCTCCAGCCCAGGTAACCACAGTGCTCATGGGAATCAATGGTGAGACGAGGTGCCGCATCCCACCGCAGGGTGAGCCAGCCCTGACGGGAGCATGGATGGAGCTGGCAGGAGGCAGCTGCAAATACCAATTTTTGAACAAGAATTGCATCTAGTAGCTCTCAAGCACATTTTGAAATGTCTTTTAAACAGGGCTCTCCACAGCCCTGCACCAGGAGCGCAAGGGGTGGTGGAAATCCATTTAACAGGCGTGTTTAAAGGGTGGAGCTGGGCACAACAGAAAAGGAAAGGCGCTTTAGTCTTGCTGTACGCGATGAACTGAGCAAACAGGAAACATAATAGCACCATGTGTGTTTATAGGATGGCCAAGGCCCTCAGGGTGAGGAGGATGCTGGAGGCAGGACCCCAGTCACCCCGATGGCTGGGGTGCAGGGCACTGCCTTGCCATGGGGGATGGCTGTGGATGCTCCCTCCTCCCGTCAACAGCTCGCCCCATCGCCGGCACTGCCCACAGCCCGAGACGGGCATCTGGCTCCGATCTTCCCAGACAACATCTGGCGGTCTACAGGTTCACTGAAGACCCACCTCCTCACTTGCATGTTATGGTACACACAGCGTTTACACATACCAGTGCAAAAAAAAACAGGAAAAACACCCCAAACACCACAATGGCTCAGCAGAGGTCACAGGCACCGTCTACTCTGGTGCCGCTGCTCAGAGCGTCTGGACACTTGCCTTGACCTCGACGCCACGGGCCATCTGCGCCGGCAGCTCCCTGTTCCCTGCCGGGGGAGCGTTGGCAGCCAGTGCCAAGGGGTTTCGGCTAATCACCAGGTCCAGCTTATCTCCGGCCTCCGAAATCAGGGGAACAGCCAGACAGCAGTCAAAGTCTCTCGTTCGGATGCGGTTTACCTGCCAGGATGGATTTAGGATGTGCCATGAGGAGGAACAACAGAAAGACCATGTTTGTTAGTTAGAAAATGCAAAGTCGGTGCTAAACCCACACCTGTGAAAACACACAAGTCTTGGTTGGGAGTCCCTGACTCCAGGTTTGCAGCAGAGCAGAGTGGGGACAGCTCTTCAGGCAGAGCACATCCTTGCTTAGCTGAGAAATGATGTAAGAACTAGTAGAGGAAGGGGGGAAAAAGGTCAGGGTCAGGCATAAACCCCGAACCCCATTATCTGGGGCAGCATTACATGCATTAAACACTGCAGGTCTCAAAGTCAGTTCTCTAGTTCAAGCCTGTGGGAGAAAGGTTAACATTTTCCATTATCTTTTTTTTTTTGCCATCATGGCTTTTTCAGCACCTACAAAATAAATACAGCTCAGACCCTGAGGCTTCTGCCAACCATCTTCTAGCTCAGCCAGCAGTAAATTGATACTATACTGAACAGTTTCTGCTTCTCCTCTTCCCATTTACATCTCTCATTTCAGAGGAACCTGGATGCATTTCACATGGGCTCAGAAGGCGGCTGCAAATTATCTCTGCAGGATTCAGCAGTGAAAGCACTTTTACTGCTGTGTCTTGCAGACCTTCAAGCACATTTCTAGGCTGGGTCACTTGCAAGAACCACCCCAGCTCTCTCACCTACAACTACCAAAGCATCTGGGCTTGGTGCCACGACAGCTCCGAGACAGAGGGGGCTGGCAAACGGCATGGGGAAGGGCAGCAGGGAAGGGAGAAAGGAATTTCCCACCCACCTTTGGAGCGAACACAACCCCTGGGGCCAGGCGTTACTTTCTTCTCTGGGTAAGGGCTGTGTAAGTCCATGCAACCCCTTCATTCGAAACCCTTTCCCAGCATTAATGCATGCCTGTGGAGCTGGGCTCTGTGATGGTAGCAGCGTCCCCCTGCCCTAGCTGATGTCCAGGTAGTTGACCCCAATACTGCTCCTTACAACAGTAAGTTACTACTTAGTGTAGTAACTAAGGACAATTTCTAAACCACAGGCCAACAAGAAGAGATAAGACATGAGCTTCCTCTGCTTTTGCTCTACACCAGCCAGGCAGTTCCAGTGCAGAAGTGTCATCAGTGCAACGCTGTGCTCCAGCTAATCCATCCAGCCCAGAGGCAGGGGGTCTGTCGCAGCAGGGATGAAGTGTTTCGCTGGCCTTCAGGCACATGACGATGCCCACACTCAGAAGCACTGTGAAGCATCCTCAGCAGTGCAACGTCGTACCTCTTGACGGGAGCTGCCTGTACCAGGTCTGCAGTCTCTCATTCACAACTCCACATGTCAACACGATGGCAAGCGCCTCGTCGTCTCGTAGGTGTAAGCCATGCAGCGCAGCATGTGCAAGGAGGGGGATGTTGAAAGTCTCCAAGCTGCTCTGTTTAGGATTTTGGGCACACCTCCCAGAGCACTTGGCATTCGTGAAAAGTGACACATCCAACATTCAACAGAAAGGCAGCCTAAAGCCTAATTAGCTTCTTGTTCATTCTTGCACCATCTTTTATTTGAAGCCGAGAAGGGATAATTGTATAGCAGCCAACTGGCTAGAGACCATAACAAGCTTAAACAAGGTTCCCCATAGTGCTGCCAGTTCTCCAGTTACCTGATGTACATAATATATTGGCTCTAATCCTACTGCTAACAACCCCCGCCTAGAAATTAGTAAAACTAAACATCTTCTGAGTGTTTCCAAATATGGTCACAATATATGCATTTCCAAATGGTGGAAAATTTTCCATTGGGGTTGCACTTTCTCACAGTTGCTGTCTGAGTTGCCCCAAAGCAAAAATAGTTGGTTTTCATCCATATAAAGCTCATCTCCAGTCTCCAAAACTCACCATACTCTTACTGTCCCTCTGGTAGTCCGGTATGCCCAGGTCATGTTTATTACACCCTGTGCTTTTGACCAGTTTTTATTCTGTTTCTGTATCGGCTATTTCAGATCAAGTATCTTTCAAAGAAAAATATCCATGAAAAGCACTTTGCTTGGAGGATGTGTTTCCTAGAAAATTCTTTTGAAAAAGGCATGCACAGAACTTCATGAACACCGTAACTCCAAGTGGGGCTTCACAGGAACATGTATTGGTCAACACAGTCTAGGTCATCCAAAAATCACCCTCTTACATGACAGAAAAAGGACTGAGGGTAAGGAGAGGAAGCAACACAGCTTTTGGTTTGTTTTGAGTTGCCCAAGCTCAAAAAGGCCAATGCTGGGCCAGGCTGTGTCCTGGAATAGCTGTAACCTAGGAGTACCACCTGGGGGTACTACCTAGAGATTTCTCATTATAAAACACAGGTCTCATTGAGTGCTTGGTGGATAAGAGCTCACCTAGTTGGCTAACTATTACCTTTCATTAAAGTTAGTGCTGCCATGGATGGGTCTCACTTCTCTCTTCCTCTCAGCCACTCATTCACTCCGTCCCAGCCTCCAGAACTGCATTTTGCATTTATTACCTGAAGCACTCTGTCATATGGCTTGAGGCCACACTGATCTGCTGGCCCATCCGGACGGACCATATTTACATAGACACCTTTTTCTAACAGGCCATCTGACACACTGAATCCAAAGTCTTCGCTCTCTGGGTCTTTGTGGAGTGTCATCTGGAGGAGCAGAAACAGAAGACACACATTTTAAAGCAGCACAGGAAGGAGATGTACAGCGTTGGCAGGATAGGAATAACACAGGTAACATGTACAGACACAGCAATTCTGCTCTGGGTCTTCCAGGCAGATTTTTCTTAGCCTGGGCAGCTAATACAGATTGAGTCTTATTCACCAGACACCATCACCTTAGGTAGATCACATGGAGAAGTGCTTTGGTGACTGGCATACAACCAACCACATGACAGTCCCTCTCCTTTGGATGTGGAAGGAAACGTAAGCAGGCCGATAGCAACAGCTGCCCTATTTCAGGCAAATAGCAACAAAGCAAGTGTTACTAACGGAGCATCACCTTTCCTGGCGCAGGTTATACTGCACGTCCTCTGTGTATGCCAGGCCAGCACATGAAAAATCTACACGTTCATGGAGAATTTTCAATGTAGTGAGTCAAACGTGAAGCCAGCTCATTTCTAATACATCACTTGGCAGGAACATCTATACTTCTCCATGTTATTCATGAGCTCTTTTCAGAAAATTCGTATCAGTAAGTGCTGACATACTGAAGACAAGAAATGGGTAACCTCATCACCCTTCTCTTAAGCATGTCATGATTTGGCCTCCTCTGAAGGAGGATGCACTGCTGGAAGCGTGTCTTGACACAAGGTAACAGCGGGAGCCAGGGACAAGAGATTCCCCAACACCAAGAGATTCCCCAACACCACCAAAATCTCCCTTTGCCTCCCATGAAGTGGAAGTGCTTCTCTATAGTGAGGCTCTAACTCCACCACTGTGCTTTTGGCTGGGTGAGCCTCATGGATGCACAGTCCCGGAGAAGGACAGTACCCAGGATGACACACAGGAGCAGCCCACCTGGCCTCCACCTCATCTCCAAACACAGCCAACACCAGATGCTCCAGTGGAATGAAGAGTCACCCTGTAACATGCCTAATTACAAAGCTCTCCTCCTTCAGGTATGAAGAAGTTTTAGCTAAAGACACACTTGCCATGCCCTGGAGGACAAGAGGAGATCAAGCATGAATAAGTTGTTTTTTCCAGCTACCATAACTGCGGGTTTCGTTATAAAGTCACACTAGGAAAGAAAAAAGCAATCAAATTTTTTTAAACCTCTCCAGCTCCTTTCCCTGCTTGCATTCTGCATCAGCAGCTTCAACAGTTAATTACTTTTTCTCATTACCGTTGCCTTGCACCAAACTGGCTATGTTCATCTGGTACTGAATTCAAACACGTATTCCATCACTCAAGTCCTACCATTTGCACTCCTTCAGGAAAGGCTAGGGGTGGAGTGGAAAGGGAGGGAAAATATGTTATTTTTAAGTTATTGTAAGTGATATTTTTATATGAGAAGTGCCTTACTGAATGGAGTGTGCCACCAGAAAAGGGTTGATGGGTCTCCACAGGGCCATGCTTTGAGCTCTATTGCTTGTACCTCTAGCAGCAATTAACGAACTCCAGAACACAAGGACCTGGAAAGCTCACACAATACATGGAATTGGCAAAGCACAGGTGTGAACCCCGCTGAAACAAGGCAGCCAAATCCCATAACGCTTCTGAAAAGGCTCCTGCATCTTGATCTGACCCTCTGGAAACCTTGGCTGCAGACCTTGGTGGGAGCGAGCTTTAACAAGCAACATTTTCTGGGGTCACTCAGAGCAAAGGAGATTTTCTACAAGGCTGCAAAGCCTCTATAGCTTTAATCATCGAGACCACAGTGCCACAGCCACACCAATCCTTGGCAACACAGACCTTGTGAAACTCGAGGGGGGTAGGGGACATGATTTCCTGCATCTCCTTCTCAATCTTCTTCATGTCCAGGTTCCTCTCGTTCTTCTTGGCAGGGGAGCTGCTGCTCTCAGTCTGTCCATCATCACAGCTGGAGTTTGCTTTCCTCAACGGGCTCAGTCCCGATGGGTTGACAGAGTCCAGGAGCAGCTTGCTGCCCTCCAGGCCCAGGTTGTGCACGCTCCCTGTCATGATGGACGCCTGTAGGGTGAGGGCACAAAGTCACTCTGCTGAGCCAGCAGGAAGAGATTGACCCCGCAGCAACACAAGTGGCACAAATAACAGGAGGGCAGCGCTGTTCTCATTAATCAGAAAATAAGTACCAAGAAGCTCTTCCAGTTAGCTAGAAAAGCCATTTCCAGACCTCAGGAGCCTGCTTGCCAGATCTACTGCTGACTTGTTGGGTGCTTTCCACCCCGACCCCTACAAGGAGCTTTAACTCAGAAGGAAGCATCTGTGAAGCGTCGCCTTGTTTTTGATGATCCCTTCTACACAAACAAGCCCAGGCAGGCCTCATCTTGTGCATGAACCTTCTTGGTAGTCAAGAAGGAGGAACATCCTGATTTCAAGGGGGTCCCAGAGGAAGCAGTGTCTGACTGGGCAGCTCACCACCAGCACCGCCCAGTGCTGGCAGTGGCCCAGGGAAGTCAATATCTTGTACTCCACTGAGGACAATTCAGCAGAGAAATTGGATTTTATCTGTCAGTAAACGGGAGCTGTCACTGAGCAAAAGTGAGTTAAAAATATGAAATTAAGTAGTATTTAAGGCTGGTCATCCTTGATAGCATCCATTAAAAGATGCCCCTAAGTAGATTCTACTCCATTTGGCAATGCTTTTCACTAATGAGATTACATTGATCAAAGCTAACGAAGGAATCAAGAATCCAGTCTGTGGAACCCCAACTGGCTCCAGGTCATAGAGTCCATTTAAAAAGCGTAATGAAAACTGTCATTTCAGAGTTCAGGTTCCAAGGGTCTGCAGTCCCCTTAAATGTCAAAAGGTAGAAGAAAGAAAGAAAAGGTAGAGAGCAGATAGAAACATTCTGCAATGCTAAACACAGCAAGTCAAAGAGCAACAGCTCCTGTGCACAGAGGAAATATCATCTGACTAAATCTCTAACCAAGGTCCTCCAGTACTTTGCTCCAAGCTGGAGCTAAGGCAAATAAAGCAAATTCTGGTAGCAGTATAGAAATGCCAGCACTACCCACATTATCCCCAAATCGGGATGGATAAAATACAGAAAACCTCTTAGCTTTGCTCTTTCCAGGTCTTTGCACAAAAAACCCGACTTAATCAGCTCGAATTTGGATAAAACTCAAATACCTGCTACACACGCTGGAAGGACGTTGACTTACTGCATGCCTGAAACGCAGGTCAACAAACAGAGGTACGGCCAAGCAGGGTACGTCTGTTCCCTGACCTCAGGCAGCCTTAACACCCGCCGTGACACCAACACCGGCACTGGAGAGCCAGCGAGGAGAACAGAAAGGTCTGTGCATGTGGTGCTGCTGACCTCCCTCCTGCCCCACAAATACCATAACCGGCCGATACTCAACAGCACTCGACTCCTTCTCTGTCTTCAAGGGATTTAAATACTCCTCACAGCACCATGAGCAATTTTCTAGATGCTTTGAGTTAAGAGCAAGCAGCAAAAAAGAGCAGTTCTGGACTTCTCCAGCCTGTGGCTGCCGCACTTTATATTTCCCCATGTCTTGGCTGCCCTCAGAGCAAAGCAGGGACACACACTCCACTAGATAGACTGGAAAAAGCCTGTTTCTACCCATACCCCACAGTCTGGGAGTTGAGTGCTACTGTGTGTGAACCTGTTTCTAGGCTATCATGGGTCATCTTGCAGGACTCTTATTCTTTTTTCAAATGCAGAGCATGAAGGGTCAAATAACTAAAAACACCTAAAAAAATAAAATAAATCCGTGACTGTCATAAAATCACAGGATTCCAGGAGTTGGGGCTTAGAAATCTGTGATAGAGCAAAAGCCTCAGTGAGCGTTGCTCACCCCACACCACATCTCGGGCAGAGTGGGCACATGGAGAAGGAGGAACAGATCAGGGGTGCTTTGAATTTCATGAAAGGGGAGTTGAAACCCATCAGACCTCTGCTAAACACACATCGCTTTGCTTTTGTCCATAGAACTGTCCAAAATATTCTAGAAATGTACTAAATACACCAAAACTCTAGCAGTGCTCAGCTTTTTTCTAAAATTTCTTTGCATTTTTAAAAGCATTACTGTAACTGTCAAAGCTCCAAAGGCTTAAACCAGCACGAACCAAAAGCCCACGCATCTCTGCACCTCGGATTCCTGCAAAAGGAACAGGATTGGGCAGAAGGATATCTTCTCTACCCTGGCATTTCACAGCAGTTCAACAAATCCCTTCTTTTTCATTTAGATGCCAGCCATTATGTGGAAAAGAAATATCTATGCATCATTTCAGAAAAGTACTTTTTCTTAAGCAGTAAAAAACTGTTCAGAAGGTTTGACAGCGGCTGCCTAAACTCATTTCTAAATATATTCAGGTCCAGGAAATAAGTGAAGTTATAGTTTGTGGGGGCTGGGGATTTGGGGGTTTGTGTGTTGGCTTTTCTTTTTAAGTCAGCATTTTCTTAAGCAGTTAAGATAATAAATAGAACGGTTCGTGCTTCAGCGTGATAAATTTAATTGAGATTTCCTCCTCCACTTACAGTTGCTAAGGATCAAGGAGAAAAGAACAATTAGTAAGTCCCTTGTCACCATATAGGCCAAAACAGGACTTTCCTTTTCCACCTCAAATTACCTAGAAATTCAAGCTTTTTTTTTTTGCTTTCTTTTTTTTTTTTCTCTGAAGCCTGAGCGATATGCAATTGTGCATAAAAACAGTCCCACTGGGGGTTCCAGAGGGCACGACCCAGCAAGCTGTCTCCAGCCCCCTGCACCCAGAACGCAGGGCGAGAGACGAGCTCGTGGGGTCCCGCTACTTCTTTGGGGCTAAAGGAACTGAATCAGTGGGGAGAGCAGCACGGGTCCCATCCTGCCAGGCACCTTTGCTTCCCACTGCTTGACAGTCTCAAGGGAGGCCTTTATTTGCATCCTACTGCTTAGAAATCCAGGCTCCTTATCCTATAACCGGACACAATAGCATGACCTCCAAAGCATTTTGGATAAAGCAAAGAGAAAGTGGTTTGTGAAGACAGGAAACACCTTTATTTCTGCAGGAAGCAATTACTTTTTTAGATTTTTCCATGGGGAAGGCTGGCTGAAAAGCTTCCAATTACCTATTCCACTGAAACATTTTCCGGCACAGTGACAGCTCAATGCAAGATATATGTTGGGTCTGTCTTATATCTGAAGCAAGCCAAGACTTGAGTCCCAACAGAAGGGTTTGGGTCTCCTTTTGCTTGGCCTCTGAGTGCTTTGGACAGACAATATCTTTCCAAGCAAAGGGTTTACCGTTCGATAGGGAAGGTTTGCCAACAGTCATGTGAAGATTGTTGGCCAGCAACGGTTTGCAAAAAGAGCGTGGAGTTCCTGGCGGGTAAGTCATCAGCTCACGGAAAAAGTGCACGCAAGCAACTGTCTAATGAGACGCAGTTATCCATTAGCACAAACAGTCACACGGATTAAAACCGAACCCTTCTTCACACCACTGGCAGCACGGGGATGCTACGGGCAATTAACAGATCCGGGGAAACAGTCTAACATTTACGGCAAGAGCAAAACAGTCAGATCAGCAGCAAATTCAGAAAGTGATTTACCTCAATCTCCCTCAAAAGTTCAGACTGGCCACATGTTTCCAAATCCTCCAAAGCTTCTCCAAAAACACGCCAAAAACTATCCTCATGAGTGGTCTCAAGGCCATTTTGGCGGTTGGGGTATCTGTTGTAACGTAGGAACCAAACATTGTCAGCACTCTTCTGCAGCGGGATGAAAGCCGCAAGGCTACAGCAAGTGTCTCACCAGTAAAAGCAGAGACTTGAAGAGTCTTCATATACAAAAGCAAACAATATGAACTTTTCAGACAAAGAGTCCGAATACGAGACCTCCATGCATTTACTACCGGGGCACGTGTCCTTCAAAGGAAGAATTAAGTTGGTGTAGTAATGTCAAAGTTCAAAGGGTAAATTAAAAAGTGCCTGTAGGAAGATTGTAGGTTTAGGAAGACGTTTTGGTGAAATAGAGAAGTGAAAGAAAAAAGGATGCATTATGGGTAAACCAGGAGCCTCAGAGACTGTTAGTACAAAGGCTGATGGGATAGAGCTCAGATCTGAGACACAGAACACCTGAGAAGAGAGAGAAAAACACAGAGGGTAACAGACATGGTGAGAAAATGATAAATACATTAGGTCTCTATGAGAGTAAATAATGCAAAGATGTATATAAAAATGATTGCCCTGGGCTGGACAAGCAAACGCACACTACAGCCAGCAATATCGACAGTGTCATGTATAACCCATATAAACCGAGTTTCATTTGCTGTGGGATGGCCATGGAACTGAGCTGTTACTTTCAGGAGGTCTTTTTTTTGTTGTTATGTAACAGTCATGGCATCTCCAGCCATGTAAAGATTGACATCAGCTCTGTCTACGACAGAGAGTAAGAATAGGGAGAACCTCTCTCAAGCAGATACAAACACACGTTAACGGGAACACCATGTGCATCTTGCTGGGGCTTCTGCAATTTTCCACCTCGGCAGTTTCAGCATCTCTTCCCTCTGACCACAAGCCAGGGTCTATTCTCAGATTTCTCAAGCAAATAGCAATTAAACATGCCGAAGTCCTCTGAACATGTCAGAGAAGTAGGTGACAGCAGACACTGCTTACTGAATGCTAGACTGTGCAAAACTCAGATCATAAGTGCTCAGTTTAACTGGAGCTTCTTGAAGGAAACTCTCATGGGTGTCACGATAAACCCACTAGTGTGTCATGGGGAGAGACCTCAAGGGGACAGTGACATTAGAGCAGCCCTAATGCATTTTCTACACATCTTATTAGGAGCTGCATGGACAAGGCTCCACCTCTGCAACATCTGGCAGCATCTCACATGGCTTAATGGTCATCCGCGCCACAGATGGGAAGGGACACTCATTTACCAGAGCCACTTAGCAAAGTCAAAACATTTTACATGAGTACAAGTCAAAGAGAGGTTGGCTTCCATTAAACATATAATGACCCCTGGGGCTATTAATAGAGCTTTTTTCAGATCTCCATTAACTGCAAAGTCTTTAGCACACGCTTTGCTTTTCATCCACTGGTTTAAATGGGGTCTGTAGCAAGCATAAACTCACACACACATGCTTCTGGTCCTTGTGGCACCATGGAGTGTCTGGGGAGAGCAGCATCTGACATGGCTTATTGTATTTTAAATTCAACTCCTACCTTTAATCAGCTTTTAAAGGACACTAGCCTTTACACCAGGCAGAAAGGTCAACAAAACACCCAGCAAGACTTTATAAAAACAAACCAAAATTTCCCCAAAAAAGGAATTTTTAATTCTTTCCCCTTACTCATTTCCTTCCTCTGCTCCCAGGTTCCCTAAGAGGCAAGCGTCCCTTCCAGTTACCAGTTTCTCGCCTCTCAGATCAGCAGCATAACAAACACATCCAGGGTGCGGATGGATCCGTACAGGCTCTCTCACCACTGGGTCAGCAGGTTTTTCCAGGCCAAAGGCAACTGGGGTTACAGACATTTTGTTTTTCTCCCTAATAAAAAGGGCTCAGCGGCATGAACCGTTTCACTTGCACTTTGACATCAGGGCTTGGAGCCCTCATTAGGGACACACGGGGCTTCGAGTGCTCAGATTTGCTAACTTCAGCTGTCAGCGGCCTCGCTGGGAGGGCCACGAGAGATCATCGACCTCTGTGAGCTGGCTCTCGCTGAGAGGCAAAACAAGAACAAAGTCTCCGCCACTGCCAGCCTTCCTGCCAGTTTGATCATCTTTAAATAGGTGGAAATGGCCATGAGATGTTCTAAGGGTTTTGTCTGGACAAACAAAAGTTAAGGAAAAAATAAAAGAAAACAGAACCAACAGTAACAACACGACACACACAACTATGGGGACTCTGGAGGATGTTGAGGGAAGGGTTAGTTACGAAGCAACAAGGCTTTTCCGCCACGTGTGGCTCAGTGAGGGGCAGCCTCTGGCCTGGGCAGATCCAGCAGGATTTTCACCCAAAGCAAGGGGCAGCTGCAGCCTCCTCCACGGGCTCAGGAGGTGTTGTCAGATTTCTCCTACACTGGCTGAGCTGGTGGATTGACTTGACCATGTTCACACAGCGTGGCTTTGTCTGTAGTGTTGGAAGGGCCAAAGTGTGATGGAGAGAGATGTCCAGCCACAGCTTTGGGAAATTTTTAACTTGAACGTGCAACCTCATACTGGTCCTCCAAGAGCTTTGGCTGGCCTTTTTCTGCTTTGTGGCATTGAGCTGTTGTGAAGCTGCATCCTCACTTGAAAAAGTTTGGGCAACACAAGTAGGGACAGCTCTGACCATGACTATTTATTACACCTTAGCTATGAAACCATCTCAGCCTTTACAAGGCAGGGGAATGAGACACGGTAAGAACCTGTAGTCCATGCAGCTGAGACTGCCCTAACTCCAGGCACAAATGCCACCGGGCCGTGGCAGAGGTGCCACAGAGCTACACCCAGAGTAACCTCGTAACGTGGAGGTGATTTGACAGAGCAGGTCATCCTAGCACCTCTCCCATGGCTGCCCAGTGCCAAGATGGGGTCATCGCTGGCTGTTCCACCACATTTCCACACCCCCTTACCCCTACGCAGTGACACCCATATTTGCAGACATGCCTCTTTGCCTCCTCCCACTTTCTCCATACCTGCTGGGCTTGTCCCAGTCATCTTCACCGAAGCTTCCATCCATGTAGGGGTAGTTTTTCCTGGGGTCTGCCGGCGGGGTGCTGCTCTTTTGCCTGCTGTGTCTCCATTCGTGTGGATGGAGGGCTATGCCTGCAGCCTGAGGTACATATGTACCTAGGAAAGGCAAGAGAGGGTGGAAAGAGAGAGGGTAATACCTGATCAGAAAACCCAAATAGAGTGAGTCACACTGAGCCAGGAGAGCTTTGCTCCCCAAATCCCAAATCTGAGGCCATATGGATTGTATACTGCTTCCACCTCCGTCATCCGAAAGGGGTTGTTCTTCCCATCTCTTCTTGCTTTAACAAAGCAGCTTCTCAGGATCTTGTCACAAGGTGCCCCATTTCTCCTTTGCTTTCCCACTTCTGAGTAGTTTTGTGGTGTGTATCTGGGATCCACTGACCTGGGACTACATATACTCACAGATGCAGATCCTACCCCCAGTCAGCTTCAGTTTTGGTTAACGGCTCCTGTTTCCACACTGAACCCAGCAGAAATTGTATTGTTGAAGAAGCCACCTTTAAGTACAGTGAATCCTTCAAAGAGAGAAGATCCTGCTAAGCTTCCCTCAGCATGCCCAACCACACTTGTTTTGAAGGATTTGGAGGCCTGATTTCCATTAGGAAAAAACCCATTCCTTAGATTCTCAACTGTCTTTGGGACTTAATGGACAGCACAAAAAAAGTAACAGTATATGGGACAGCACCAAAGAAACCACAGCCAGAGCAGCCAGCAGCAACAGCCTCCCTTCAACAACTGTAATGGTGCTGAGGGTACCTGGCGGTGGTCACCATCTCCAGTGTGCTCTGCAGTGGTAAATGAGGAACAGTCAGCCCTGAGCCCAAGAGCTGCCTTCAGAATCAGCTGGTGCAGGTACAGAAAACTGCTTCAGGCACATGTGTGTGAAAGGCAAGGAACAGGAGGAAAAACTGCTGGCTCGAGAGAAGGGGACGTTCATCTGTACGACATTTGATAGGAGATCAGTACAGACCGTTAAGGTGAAATCAGAGAAGTTTCACTATGTCTGCCCCCATGGACTTTTCCGTACTGCAGTGTCTCACTCCAGAGATGCAAATCCATCACTATCAAGTCACAAGATCCCCAGGTCTCACAAGAAGCTGCCTTGAGAGAAACCTTCCAAAACAGAGCATTCCTCAGCAGTGTCAATGCCATCTGCAGTGGAAATAAATCTCCCGAGTCCCCTGCCCATCTCCTGCTGCCCGTTCAACATTTCAGAGAAATCACAGCCTTTCCAAGAACCATTGTGCGCTTCCATCACGCAGTGCCAAACAAACAGGAAGAGGTATCAGAGAAACACATAATTAAGGGAGACTTGACCTCCCAAACAGCTAAGAGCACTGGAAATACTCAATGTCAATGCCAGCACTTTCACTGAAAATGCCAAGGCCTGTTACTTCACTTAGCTGAGTGTCTCCTCTGTGTGTTTTTAAAAATTAGACTGCTCTGGAGAGAACCTCAGAAAAGTGCTTGCCAACATCTTACAGCAGTCAGGAGTGTTCGTCGCCTGCCAGAGCAGAATAAGGTCCCTGGATGCAGGGCTCTGCAGAGGGTGGGCAGCAGGTTTGGGCTGAGCGCAGGGGGCCAGGGACCGCAGGGCAACGTGTGCAGAACCATCGCTTAGGTGCCACTGGTTTTGCCTCCTCCTGCCAGGGACATGGGCTGGATCCCTGGGATTCAGAGCCACCTGGTGGCATGTTCCCACCAGGCCCAGCACAGTTCCCTCGTCCAAACCCTTCCTAAAGCTGTAGATGAACTTAAAATCTACAAGGTTGTGGAAGCCCCATCTGTAGTTCCCCATTCGGGATGTAAACCCCAATCTCGAGGCTCTGTGCATCCCAGGTCTCCCTGCATCCTGCCTTCTCTGCCCATCTCACGGGTGACCCTGTGCTTCCTTCTCCCTATGCTCCCGCATCCCCCTTCCCATCCAGCACCGGCACACCGTGATGCAAACAAATGCAATTGCCAGGGAAGACAAAAGAGCCCCTGAAGCATAGTCGGTGGATGTTGGGCAACTTGGCATCAGCCCCACTCCCCGGGGCTCTGTGCTCAATTACTCATTCTCAATTTACCTGTAAAAGCAATCACTTTGCTAAACCCAGTGTCCAACTTGAGTTAACATTCAATTAAATGTAGAAGGATTGCAGCATTATTAAGTCCAGGGAATTCCTCCTTAATGAAGCTTCCAGTCCCAAGTGCACTCCCAAATTAAGACTTTAGACCAACAGCGCCTGAAGGAAGACACAGGTGTGGTGGAAGAGACACCTGCGAGGTGCTATCCTTTGAACTTTCCCAAGTCAGAGCACAATGAGCACAGGCACACATTGTGCTCAGCACATTGAAGGTGCTTTGCCACAGCATCCCTGCAACATCCCTCCCTGTTTTCACATTCTGTTCTGGATAGCAGTCTTTTCACTAATTTCCTCTTGCAAAGGTGATTCAGGGTTTTGTTTTGTTTCAACATGGGCTAATGCTAGTTTATGTCACTAAATTCTGAACGGAAATAACTATTTTCCACTGCTTTTCTCCAAGTAAAGATCTATTCCCATGACTGGAGCATACTCCATCTCAATTCCATATGTCTGCCAGAAGTCACAGCTGAATAAACCTGGCCTCGAAGACTTGTGTTCATCTGATCACTCACTAGAGAGTTAGAGATACTTTCCAGTAGTATTACCTTAATTATTTTGTTAAGTGAGTGCTTCTAGTCACAAGACATTCTCGTGTTTAAAACATCCTAAAGAGGATTAGTATGTCCTACATGGCCTCTCTGGAGAATTAAAAATGAGCTACGGACCAAACACTCTGTAAGACATATGGCCAATGAATATTTCCTCTGATTACGTGAATTATAAAGTGCTGTAATGGTTTTGAAAAAGCTGTGAACATTATGATGCCATATAAGCCAGAAGAAATGTGCCAATAAAAACCTAAACCAGATACATCAACTCAGAGCACCACATGAGTGCATTTTAAAATACATTTCGTTCTCTGCTGGACGTGAGAAGTCATGCAAATGTTGTCAGACCACAGGCTTCGGCTCATGTTCAGTCTCCAGACAAATCCAGAGGCTCTGCCTATCTTCACCTTGGCCCAGAAAGCCCTAAGAAAAGACAACTCTGGCTTACCTTGGCTACCATACCCAGCATCAATGCCAGAGCCATCCCAGGACTCCATAGCACTGTCCACACTAGGAATTGTGGTGGAGTATATCTCAGACAGCTTGCTAGTTTTCTGGGAGTCCGTCAGTTCATCTTCTGGGTCGCTCACTTCATTTATACTCCCCGACTTCTTGGGATAGGATTCTGAAATCAGAACACGCTGCTTTAGCAGGCAGAAAGAGCAACCTCAGGGAAAGGCTTATGCTGACATGGGAGCAAGCCCAGGTACTGTAAGTCTTTCCAAGTACCTCTTTAGCTCTTCAAAAGTAGCTGAGAAAGGCCTGTGCAATGCAGCTGAAAGGATTTAATGTAGTACTCTTACCTCAAGCTGAATCAAGAAAAAATGCCTTCCTGAGTTTTTAGCACATGGAATATAAGGAGCAACCACAGGGATATCAGGATTCTCAAATATTAGAGAGTTGGGACCTAATCTCAATTCATAAGCACATCTTCTTGTGCCTTTGGAAACTTTCTCCAAACAGCCCTGCCCAGAGAAGTGCTGGCCTCTGCAGACAACAGCCCACAGTTTCTCTGGTCTTCTTCTTCCTCTGAGCAGCACCGACTCAGGGTGCTGGCTGCAAACATTCTGTTACAAGCAGATCTTTTAAAGAGATTCCAACCACAATGCAACCTTGCCCCAGACTACCGCAGCTGAAGTTATAGCACACTTCCAAGATACAGAAGTTAATACAAACTTGTATCAATCATGACAGGGAGGTTGGACTAGATGATCTCTAAGGTCCCTTCCAGTCTAGGCCATTCTATGATTCTGATCACCTCCTCTGCAGTAGCATCCACGCAGCCCGACAGCACCAGCGGCATTCGTGGGCCTGGTATTTTGAAGCTGAATTTCCTCTGATCAATGATTGGAAAATGGAAAGCTGAATGTGGATGATGAAACCCAGACCTTCCCTTTCATTATTTTAGTAATAATAGGCCCTTATTATCATTATATCAAATTCCATTTCAGGCAAAAGCTACGCAAGGAATGGCTTCTCAGCATAAGCATTTCTTTGTACTGAATATTTTAAAGTCCTCCTTGATTAGATATCCTGTTCGCCATTCACACCCTGGATCTCCGACTCACAGAGGCTGGGATAAAAAGCCCTCTCAAAGTGTGCATTTGTCAAAGAGGACAGACTATTTTGGCAAACAAAGCCCAGTGTCCTGAAAGTCCCTATTTTCCAAGCATTCAGAAGATTGCTCACCATGATTAGCTCAAGATTACCTTGAAATTTCAATTACACCTGCTTCATTCGCAGAATGATTAAGGAGTCTCCAACTGGCACTTGCATGTCAATTACCTCACCGAGCGGCTCTGACAATGCTAAGTGTCAGCAGAGGGGGGAAAAACAGTATTTCAGACCAAGAATCAAGACGTTTGGCTGCAGGGAACGAGACTGGGGTGTCTTGAAGAGGAATCAATTCCTCACATCTGTTTGCGAAATCCCCACTCCCTGCCTGGGCTTCCTCTATTTGTAAAATAGGTGCACTGACACACATTTGCAAACTGCTTTCAGGTCTACAGAAGTGCTATGTTTAAGAGCAATGCTATTTTTTCAGATGCAGGACAGACATCTCATGGACCACGCTCACCTGATTTCTTCTAATTCCCACAGCGCTGTGGGCCACTGGCTGGGTAGGTCCAGCTAAATCTAGAGACTGAAGAAGCACGGCACAAAAAAAAAGGACAGAAAATACTGGGTGTGGGGAGAGATAGAAATGCAGCCAGAATGCACCTGCTACTTTCTGAACTTGATGAAGAAGCCTCTCTTTGGCTGTGATTACAGAGCCAGGGAGAAAAGCTTGCATGTTCCCTGGTTCTGCCACTCTCCCCTCTTTGCTCCCAAGAAGCAGCCTACTTGCACTAAGTATGCTCCTGCTCTGACACCATGTCAAGAGGAACAGCTTCAAAGTCACAGGGAAGTTGGCAGTGAAATGAGAAGGGGATTTCTAGAGTGAAGGTAGATGCTTCGAAAGATTATCTTAGGACCCCAAGCCAAGAGACAGGACATAAAAGACATGTTGCCAATCACTTTCAAAATTTTGAATTAAAGGTGCTGGGATTTTTTTCAAAGGATTCTATCAGCTCAGAGTCCCCTTGTTCCTTTTGAGGGATTATATTTCAGAACAAAACTGCACTCTTCTACTTTTAAAAGCAACTTCTGTTTCAGTTCTGTGTGAAAAACCCATACTGACAGGGAATTGCATAAGGTTTCAATCTGAAAAAAAATTATCAACAATAAACCTGCCATATAAACTCCTTCCAGTATCAGAGAAATCCTCTGAGTTCCCTCCTCTCCCCACCACCATCTTTGGATCAGAATTTCAAAAAACTTCTACCTTTCCCCTCGGTCCCCAGCCATGCCCCTGACCATTCTGCCTCATCTCATCTTCCACAACACATGAAGGGAAACCCACAGCACTACCTACTCCATCCCCTGGGGTCCGTGCTGCTGGGGTGCGCCCTTGCTCCCACCCCAAACCAGGGTCCCCAACTCACTCTCCGTTTGCTTCTTGATCTTCAGAGTGACCGTCTCTCCTGCCATCTGCAGCAGGTGAATGGCTTCGCTCAGCGGTTTGCCCTTGAGGCTCACGTTATTGATTGCTAATATCCGGTCACCAACGTGGATAGCTCCAGTTCTGGAGAGAAAAGGTGTTAGAAATTTCAGAGGAGCAATTCACCAATATGAGGCAGGCCACTAAGTTGCTGCTTGAAGCAACAGCACTTTCAAATGCATCTTCGCTTCCCCTTCGTACACTGTAGAGCTGTGATTTCCTCTTCATCACCACAACCAAGAATTTGAGTTGTTCCACACCCCATCTTCCACCTGGGCATAGACATACAAACATGCACAGGAACATGCGCACTCCTTGGATAGCAGACCCCTCGGGAACTGGGACTGCAGACCAGCTTACAGCCAAAGCTCTTCAAAGCCAGGGGGTCTACATGCTAAAAGCACCAGCAGTTCCAGTGTGTGATGTCCACCAGTTGTCGTGCATGGAACTGAAGGGCACGTTCACACTGATGAGAATCATACAATGGCCTAAGCTGGAAGGGACCTCAGAGATCACTTTAATCCAGCCTCCCTGTCGCCAGGGATGCCGCCTCTCGACTAGATCAGGCAACACATGGGGACCGAATGGGAAGAAATGAGACAAACGCAGAAACCCATTGAAAAAAAGCAAAACACAAACAGCTCAACATACACCGATTGTGTGTGCAAGCATAAGCTGAACCAATTACAGATCAGTTCATCATACGTTTAAAGCTCAGCCCTACATAGCTACACCATGGTGACTTTCTCCATCAGAACAAGCACTCTGAAGAGGTTACTATCACGTCTTATCGCACAGCCATATTCTGGCACTGGCTTCTGCTCTCAGCTAAATAAATCCTCAAGCTTCAGTAACAGCCAAGAATGAACGAAAAAGCCACGGCAATTCTCCCCCATCTCCTCCATCTTTCCCCTCTGTGTCCACCCACAGACAGGGGCTCACTTTACCTCTCCTGGCATTTACCACAGTTCTGGGACGAGCGGGCAGATTGGGATGTGTCCATGGTCAGAGCTGGCTGCCAAGGCAGCAGCTCACACTCACCGCTGGCTGGACCAAGCTCACCACCCTCATGCTCCAGCTCCCTAAGGCCAGCAAGCAAGAGCAGCAATTCTCTCCTTCTCCAACAGTGCCATGAGGTTTAACTATCAGAAACCTGTGTGATGGAGCCAGGAGAAGATGCAGATCCAGACTGCAGTATCTTTTTTCCCATGGCAATGTGCCTCTCTTAGGTTACATCCTGCAGAATTGGGAGTTTTTGTACTGTTGCAGGCAAAACAGCTACTTGTCTTTCCCCAAAACAGGAAAGTTTTGTAGACACACTGCTGGAAAACACCTCCTGTAAGTACATCATTTTGGAAAACGCAGCCAAACAGCAGGCAGGACTGACTGTTCTGCTGTTGCTAGATTCTAGTGCTGCAGAGCTACTTGGACAGTGCCATTTCAGTCCCGCCACTAGATGTCCACCTTGTCCTATCCAAATCGGCCTGAACAAGTCCTCGGGGAAAAACCTGTGCATTCAAATAAATTACAAATCAAACTGGTACTGGAAAATTTGTTTTTAAAGTTTCACCTACGTAGTCATAAAAAACCAAGATAACTGCTGGCAGTTTAAAGACGATCCTTTGCTTGCTGCCGTGTTTCAGCATTCGAGGGTTCCCTGCTGTAGCCCTGAACCCAGCATGGGGACCCATCTCCTATCCAAGACACCACCAGCCCAACTGCTCACCTCTGAACAACATGACTGCTTTGCAGAAACTGCGAAAATCCCTCAGTAGGGGAAAAAAAACAGAGACAAAAAGTCACGTTCAGCCAAGTGTTTTCTTCAACTGTGGGAAAAGTAAATCCAAGTCCAGTCCTCCCATGTGTCCATTTCCAGGCACTCCCACGAGGACAAGCAGATGGGAGTGACAGAGAAAGCTGTTTGTAGCTAATGACCCTTGTGCCTCTCCATCATCACCAACAGTCCTTAGTTCACCTCAGATACAAACCAGCCCAAGGAGAGGTGTACCCCATGTCCCTTCTTGCTCAGAAGACATATGCAAGAGCAGATTCAAGGAACAGGTGAGTCATAAGGTGTAAAAAGGGCTGCAGGCACTGTCCAGCAAGTATTTGAGAAGAGGCGGCCACATGCACATGGTAGGGATTTCCTTGGTGCATAGGCAGGGCCATCACCCTTTCTGCCCCTGCCAACATGGGTTGGTGCTGAGCTCTCCTGCACACCACCTTCCTACAGCCACTCACATCTAATTCACCAGGTGGCACTAGACGAGGCTGGTCAGGCACTTTATCATGTCAGCAACAGCCAAAAGTTACTCTTGGAGAACCCTTACACCTTGTACCAGAATTGAGCAGTATCTCTCATGCATGCTCCCTTCCTCAAGAGGAAGGAAAACAAGTCCCATGGCCCAGGCTAAAGCTACCTGCAGGCACCGAAGGAGGAGAAAGAAAGACAAGAAAGACTAATATGGGAGAGAGCCACCACGGGAGCTCACCACCAACCCAACAGCCCGAGCTGCCTCCGTAGGTTTCTATAAGATCAGACACGTACAAGAAAAATGTTCAAGGTGAAGATAAAAACCCAAGTTATCTGAATTCTGAGCCTGTTCAGCTTAGACAGTCTGTCACTTGCTGGGACAGACGTGTGACAGATCCTAGAGGACACTCTGCCCTCCCCATCGCCAAGCAGGCAGCCCGAGCCACAGTGCAGACTCTGCCTCTACAGGAGTGGCCGGTATATTCCTGTTATCGACACTGGGATGTGGTACATGCCGTGCCAGCACTGCTGAGACATGTCCTGTGCTCCAGTAAAAGTCAGGCACAGATTTGGGTTTAAATCCCTGTCCTTCAGAAGCCTGTCCCTCCCTGCCTGGCTAAGGGTACCTGTGGCACAGAGAAGTGATGCCAGAAAAGAGACAGTTCAGAATAACACTAACCACCTCTCTTTCCTTGACAAGGTCAAGCCACTCCCTTCTGTTATTCTCAGGATGAAAAATGCACCTTCCCTGCTGGCAGCCTTCACCCCAGCCTTCCTTGCCTTCCCTTACGGGAGCCAAGGTTACCTAGAGAAATCCCTGTGCTGCTCCATCCCCATGCTGCTCCTCTGCACGGGCACCGTCAGCTACAGTGAACATTCTGAACGGTTCCATCACTCTTCTCCAAAGGTTTTTCATTCCTTACTGCCTGCCAGCTCCTGATCAAAATTCAGTAGTACCGCAGCACTCGCCTGCACTACGTTCCTCTGTGGAGCTGTCACTGATGTGTATCTGAGTTTGAAGGAGGAACAGCATTGCAAAGGAAAGCGAGAGCAACAAGGGTACAAGGCCGTCTTCTGACACCTGACAGCGTTTGGGCTTTCTGTCCTTAACCTCTCACATGCTGGGCTGCAGCTACAGTGCAGAACTGCTCTGCAGAAATGCCTCAGGTAAGATGTTGCTATTCTTTAACATGACTCCTACAGGGGCAGGCAGTGATATCAAATCCCCAAAGAGAAGAAACACTGATGACTAAGTCCAATCCTTACTTCTTGGGAGACACCATTGTTCTACTTTCTATACCAGAGGAAACCAATGGAAACGTGCAGCAGCATGTGTGCTGAGAGCTCAAGGAACCCAACACAGAAAGAGGCACTGAGTCGTTTTACAGCCCAGCTAAGAGGGAGTGTGGCCTTGAACAGAAAGAATCAGAAGGCCAGATCTCCAGTCAAACCTCCCCACTTTACACCTGTTTGTTTAGGGCTTTTTTGCTACTGTTCTGCCTGACAGGCAGCACAAGGCAAAGCAACCCTATGAGAAGCATGATTCACAGCTGCTGAAATGATCTATTTCCAAGTCACAGCTACCATATAGACAGACTAACTAAGATACAGTGTATGACTCAGTTCCACCCTATATTCTCAGCAATGTCCTTATCCTCTAAATCCTAAACAATATATTCAGACACAGGCACACACGCAGTCAACCTGCCCGGTAGCCGAAGGTAAATCTGCACCTATGTTTATGCAGTATAAGTGTCTCCTGCCCGAGGCACGCCAGCTCTGCACTGAGATACCTCCACATGCCACAAACTAAGCATCCAGCAAGGACAGGTCAGAAGACCGCAAGGTCCATAGTTTCTGCAGGACACACCCCTCTCATGGCCATAAGATGCAGTTTAGCAACAGCTGAGTCCTGGAGAGGAATCTACAGCAGTTTCATGGGCCGGCTGGGCACTCTCCCCACACAAGATGTACGTGGGAAATCACAGACCAGGAAGCACCTCTGTGGAAGCGGGGCAGATAAACACATGATCCTGGCTGCTGCATTCAACCAGCACGAGATCCAACTCTTCCAGAAGCTCCCTGCTCTCACTATGCTAACAGCACAGTCCCAACCACCCTGCTCCATAGCGCTTGCTACCTTCGTAGCATCTTTTGTCTTTACCAGACTAAAACACCTAAGAAGAGTTTATGACAGCAGAGGAAACATGGCAAACTTCAAAGATCCCTTCCCACACCAATTCACACCCTCTGCTCCTAAAGTTCACCTTTCTGCCAGTCCTCGTTTAGTCAGGCCCGAAATGACAATCGGATCGAAAGGTTCCTCTGTCCCAGAGATGGTTATTCCCAAGGGGCCACCGTATCGCTTCAGTTCCACTGTGTAGATAATAGCACCAGTTGTCTCCTGCTCATCTGAAAAAGGAAAAGGGAATGCTGATTTTTTTAACTACCCGTATGAACAAGGTCATAGGAAAGACTTGCAGCATTTGGAAGCAAAAGCCTGAGGTCTTCAGGCATGCTCATACCAAACAGGATTTTAATCTTCCAGACTCTGTTTAAGGGCAGAATAACAAAAATAGACTATAATCAATTGGAAAGTGGTGAGCGGACAGGCAGCAGCCCTTATCTTTGCTAGTTTGCACTACCTAGTGGGAAATGTCATTACAGTGGGCAGGCACAAGTTTGCATCAGGATTTCTGTACCAGAGTTATCTTCATCCTTCCTAATCTTCAATTTGACCAGGTCTTCACACTGCCTTAAAATCTGCACAGCATCCTCCATTGAGCAATTGTCGAGTCGGATGTTATCAATGGCTAACAGCTTGTCTCCCGGCTCCAACGTACCAGTTCTACACAGAAAGGAAAAGAAAACTAAAAGTACATTTGCATTTGCCTTTCAGATCCCACAACATATTCAGTCCTGCAGCGGCAATGACAATATTAACTTTTTGCTGTCCTTGATCTTTTCTTGGAAACAACCATGAACAGAGTTGGGGACAATAGTGATTGAAAGGGAGAAAGTTTGTGTAGAGGGTGCATCAGCACAGAACAAGGCAGGAAGACTAGCTATACAGCCCAGGTAACCTACAGCACTGAAAAGTGCCTGGTGTTTAACTGACAGATATTCTACCTTCTATGGAATCTCCTGCATGAGCACTCTTAGAAGCAAGTCCTTCAGCAGCACTAAATTCCTGTGAAAGCCTTGTTATGAGGTGTTGGGATTGGAGGTGAAGTCAATAAATGCTGAGTTACTTGCACAGTTCTCCACCAGTGCCCAAAATTCACTCACTCTGTTCACCTGAGCAGGAGCTGAGACATGGCAAACTACCTGACGAGCCATAGCACTTCATGGGATATATGAAGCCCTTTACCACATGCTCTTAAATGCTGAACATCCATCTCCTACAGGGGCAGCAGACATCTGAATCAGTGCGTTAGCCACCTTTTCCGTTAGTTCAACTCTCATTGCCTCAGTACAGAGTTTTTATTGCAAACCCTACTCCAGTCCAAGACAAACCTCTAGGGTTGAGATCTCCTTGGATGCTGGTGAAATCCAAATCCAAGAGCTACTGCTTGCCTTGATTCTGGGCTGGACATTTTGCAACAGGTTTGGCAGACGGCAAACTCCATACTCACCTATGTGCTACGCTCCCCTTCTTGATGTCAGAGATGATCAAAGGCTCTCCAGGCTTTCTGCTTGCAGCTGCAAAAGAGACACACGGGTACAAAGTTTTGCACCGACTCTGGAGATGGTTAATGGAGAGTCAAAAGAAAAGGGAATTTATATTCTCTGGGCAAAATGATGCTTCACATCTGAACTCTGGAAGCCACACAAGGGAAAAAAAAGAAGGAACTCCCCGCAAAAGTTTGTCGGTTGCCTTTGTGCAAGTTAGCTAGCTGCTTCCTTCAGACTCCCCCTGAAGGGGAGGACACACGGTGTCCAGCAGCAAGAGGTGGGATTGCCCGATCCAGGCAGTGGCAAACACCTGCTCCTCCACATCTCTGACACGAGACAGCAAGTGAGCCAATGGCTATGGCAGCAGTCAGGCATCAGCACTGCTGCCGAGGGAGCATCTGGGTCAGAACTGTGGCTATTAGAAGAATGTCTCCGTTCTTGAAGTAAAGTGGGCAGGGAAATCTTCCAGGTGGAAAATAACCCTGGAAAATTTAGATAAAACACTCTTTTCCAGCTGGTTGAGCTCCCCAGGCCACTTCATCATACAACCAGATAAATCAGAGCTGCTCTCCGTGCTGGAGCTGGAAGGGGTTGCCTCACGACTCTTCTCTTGTGACCAACCCTGATAACTTTTTTCAGCCCATGAGAGATGCAAGTACACATCTCTTGTCTGGCAGCATTTGCATTTTCAAATTTGCCTGCAAGACCTGCTGCTCTCTTGAGGAATCCAAGAGAGATTTATGACTCAAAGCCCTCCTGACCTCTCTGCCATCCACACACCAAACATATGCCAAGAGCATCCTTTTCACCCCGTGTCACTCCCTCCTGCCTTGCTATGGGAATTGCATCGTCTCATTTAAAGCTGACACTGTTTCTCAACAAAAACTGCGTAGGAAGGAAGAAACTCGCAGCATCTGAACATATCAGGTGCAGGTCAGAGATTAAAATATCTGCGAGGCACGTGGCATCAACCGCGCAGACATCCACCTGTCTGAATTAGAGAGCACCCCAGAAAGTCAGGCACATAGGAATAAATGCTTCCTCTTACCAACCTCTATGCCCTAGATTTCTCTGTTGTTTACATTCATTTATGAGATGTAAAAACATGCATGCTATCCCATTACCTTTAAGGGTACCTTCTCTCAGATATAACTAAACCTCCTGTACTGAACAGAGCAAAGCAGATGGGTTGTGGAGATTCACTGAAGATTTGTGCCATGGCACAGACGAACCAGCAGATAAACCGACACACACCCGGCAGAGCTGAGTGTTGGGATGGAAGGATGGGGTGCGGCAGCTAAAATCAACACAGAAACCTCCTCTCTGACCAAGAAGGCCACACATCATAGACTAACAGCACAGGGGGCAGAGCTGCATCATCCTGTTATTAGTACAGCTGTTCTCTTTTTCAATACAGGAGATGTATTTGCTGCTAAGAGAGGTGTGGTGGTCCTCGTGGCAGTGATGGGAGACCCCGTTAGCACACCCTGAGCCAGGCTGGCATCATTGCATATTTTAATTGCTCCCTAGCCTGGTTCTGTCAAAATGATCCAGGTTAGCAAAAATAATTTTCACTGCAAGGTTTATTTACTAGTTTCAAAGCAGAGGCAGTGTGACAGAAAGGGGTTAGGGAGTATCTCCACAGTCCTGGTGGTTGGTTGGGGACGGCCATTCTCTAAACCCGACCCAACCACAGCTGGAATGACATGTTCAGACATCATCACCACGCAAAAGAGCATAAAGGCAGTGGAGAAAGAAGCGAGTATAGACAACAATATGTCTCAAGCTCTGCAGAAATAGTGTTTATCTCAGCATCTGCCTCACAAGCCCTGTGACGTGTCGGGGCATCCCGCCCACCATCAGCCTCTGAGCAGAGAGCAAGACCTTGTCCTTCTGCAGCTCCACGACTGGTGTCAGCACTGAACACAGCACAGGCTTCCCCTATCAGAGCAAGAGAGATAAACCAAGTGCTTTGTTCATTAGGAAACAAAGAAAGTTTTAAGCAAAAAAATCATCCTGGGTTTTGTTTGTTGTTGTTTTGGAAGTTGTGCATTCCAAACAGGCTTTCTTGAGCCTTCTGTTAAATGGAAGACCCATGTACAACTGCATACAACTGTTCCCACCATCAGAGTACCCAAACTTCAATAAATGGCAGCACTCTGTTTTAAATAATCACTTAGCATAAAATGGAATGATTTTACAAAATCATCATTATTAACCAGCACCTACAAATCTGAAGGGTAAGTTAGAGACTTAATAATTGTGCTTTCTCAAGAGGCATAAGATACAAAGTTAAGATAATGAAATCTCAAAGCACAAAAGAGTCACTGTTCATTTTAAAAAACAGTAGTTAGAAACTCCATTAATTCACCTGGTGAGATTTTGAATAAACCATTTCCAATTTGCCTGCAATTAAAAATAAAATTTGATCTATGTTACTATTTTCTTAGGGCTGTGGCTCTTGGAGTTAAAGCACTTGCACAGACGAGTAACCCTCTTCATCCATTTCTGCTGTCGATGTATTTATTTCTCTTCAAAGGACATTGCCTTGGTAATTCTATCTGTTGCAGGAAGATACGGTTCAGACACCCTGACTTGCCTCCGGGTCTTGCTTTCCCATCTGTAAAGTGGAGACAGCAGCAAAGGGAGTCAAGGGAAGAGATGGATCGAGGCACAGAGGCAGAAGCTGGTGTACAAAAACCCATCCTCTCTCTCAGCTGGTGCTCTGGTTGTAGCCTCCATCAGCCAGGGTAAACCGGTTCGGGTGGAAGTAGGCTCTTTTTCAGCTATATTTGTATTTTTGGCAGGTTTACCAGTACAAAAGATAGTTTAAATCTGCTCCAGTGGCCCAGAGAAAGCTCCGTAAATCAATAGCTGGTGGAAGTAGAAGCGTGGGGTGGGGGAGAAACTCAAAATGAAAACACTGCTTGGCAGCACTGACAGGGCAGTGATAAAAAGGTGAATTGATCAATACTGTTATTTACTTTTTATAAATTGCTTTCAGTCTCTCACCACCACTGCTGGGATTCTGGCTCGCTTGGCGTTTACTCTGTGATGGATGACAAGGCCAGAAACACGTGTCCGGTTTGTGGTTTTAATAGAATGCATAATGACTCGTATTGGTAAATTATTCCCCTCCAAGGAGCATGAGCCCGTATCTCACATGCATCAACCCGTTATAAATGCCCTTTGTTATTGACCAAGTCAAAGCAGCATTCTGCTAACGTGTGATTAAAGAAACTCTAATAATGCCATAATAATACATCTAAGAAAGCAAGCATTTAGAAACAGGAAAAAAAAAACAAAATCAGAAACCCAATACACTCAGCAAACCAGAAGCAATTCCAAAAAGCAGCAGTGAAAATCAAATCGTTGGTACCCAACTTTTTTCTCTATCATTCATTAGTTTCAGCAGCAGGTACATAAATGATCACTGCCTGCAGCAAGATATTTGCCCCATCACAGATCTATTTCCTTTCAAAATCTCCCCATCGCAAAACCAGGACAGAATATCCCACTTCAGTAAAAACACCGGAGTGCATCAGCTGCAAATCTCAGCTGAAGCTACAACATCAGCAAGGAGGTAGGAGAGGAGGCTGCCGGATGCGCTGCCGCTGGCAGACACGCTCTGCTGGGCTGGTGGCAGGTCCCAGGTTAATCCAGCGCCGGCAAAGCTAGATTTGCTCAGCTCACAGATCCATCTTCTTGCTAGGACAGTGATTACACTGCTTAAGCGACTTAATTGAAGTTATCTATTTACCCGAATTCCAGTTTTATCGCCTGCAAGCAGATATACTACCTACTCCTTATCTGCAGTACTTCACGCCAAGGGCACAGGAATTGATTTGTTAAGATATATAAAGGTAATTTGATAAACATGCTATAGGAAGTATTAATGCATATCTGAAATTAATGGTAATTTCAGTATCTGTTTAAATGGCAACATCACCACTGTTTGCTGCACCCTGTAGCAAGTTTCACAACTAGCCCTTGGAGAGGATATTTGAGACAGACAAGAAAAAAAAACAAAAAAACAATCTTTGTGCAATCAACTGTTATTTTCCAGAGGCTAATAACAAATCCATATCTTATTTTAAGAGGTCAGGTATTGAACACACAAGAATACATGACTATTAGCTTCTCGCTGCTGGAGATTTTAATTTGTAAGAGATTTACAGAAAACCTACAAAGGCATAACAGTACCGTTAGAACTGAAAGCAGCCAGCAAGATCAGAGCACTTAAGGCATGTGTTCTGCTAATGGAGATGAGTAGTTCAGGCCAACAAGAGAGAGACCTTCACATCCCTGTGTCAAAAACCCCAGCCGGCAGGTCTGTGCCTCACCACCATTCAGAGCAGCTCGGACATCCCCTCACAGCAGTGAGCTTCCCAGCCACACAGCTCAGAACCACGCAGAGCACAAGGAGGGCAACGCTTTGCTCTTCAAGCAGAGCGGCTGGGTTACAAACAAAAGCAGCCTTCTCCCTGGGACAGGAACCAAATTGCTGGGGCAGGGAGAAAAAAAGAGCGATTTTGCCGGCTCCTCTGGACAAAGTGCATGGAGGCAGCGCAGGCAAGGCAGCGACGGTGTTTTGCTTTGCTAATTTTCATTTAGCAAACACTGGAGACTGAAATGAGCCTTCAGGGAACCAAGGTGCCACAGAAATACAACCACAGGCAGTGAGAGCCTCACCCCTTGGATTTCCTATTCATCCTTCAGGGAACAGAAGGGGAAATAATGCTGTATGCATAGATTTGCGTCACGCATCTTGATTTGCCGTGACCCTTTCCCAAGCTGTGTTTGAGCAGGGAGAAGAAACCAGTCTGTGCACACAGGCCACAACCAGGGGCTTGCTCAGCCTAAGCCTCCTCTTTCTGAGAGCTTGGAGAGGACAAAATGCCCTCAGCAAACATCTGCCCCTCAGCAAGAGCAAGCATAGCCCTTCTCTGTATGTTCATCCCAGAACCAGCTCTCCTAACACAAAAACCTTCCAGGGTTTCAGCCCTTTTATGAGGTTTTCCAGCAGATTTATGGTTCCTCCTGCAGCTGGCTCCATTATACGAGTTCTTCCAATGCATCCATCAAGAATCCTGCTCTCCCCCTGCTTTACTTAGCCTGTCTCCCAATTAGCTCTGAGAGCCACAGCACAGCAAGAACTTGATCACTCTTATTTCTGTAGTGTTTCTCTGATGAGGTGGTGACGCTTTTGGCCTGTGTATGAAGGCAGCAGCACACCTTCCTACACAGAGGAACTAACTACGTATGAGGCTGCTGAAACCTCGAGGTAAAACTCAAGGAAAGCAACTCACCTCTCATCTACAGTGTAGCCAGACCACAAAGCTTATGAAAAAACCCAATTTTGTGGCTACAACAATGCAGGAGGTCTTCTACTGACCCCTCCGGTTTGTCATCTATTTAATGTACCCTTGTTTTACAGAGCAGGCAACAGGAATCCAACATGGGAGGCCAGTAAACAAAGTTCCCCTCCTTCAAAACAGTAGTTGCATGCTTTTCCTTGCCAGAAAGAAAGCTGTAGGAGCTGTTTCTAGACCCATACAAGCATTCAAATCAGCAGAACTGGGAGGAACTGAGCAAAATAGAGAAGAGTTATTTTTACCTCTTTTCTCTTACTGCTTGCATCACACTCTTGCACGCACATCATGTCTCTGCAGGAGGTACTTACCATAAGGCTGCGTGCTTTGCTTTTAACGTTTGAAACCAGTATATTTATCTGCCTGCTCAGGGGCAGAGTGACAAAATGATGATCTAATTTTCTAAGGCTCATCTGGACATAGGCTTATACAGACTAACATATGAAAAGAGAATTAGGATTCAACCAGCATTTCATCCTTGCCACTGCATTTTCTGGATGGCTGTCTTTTGCTCAATTTGTAAATATAATTTTGACTTTGACTCAGCAAAGGATTGAAATATATCTTAAGTTTATGTGTATGCATTACTTAAACAATGTCCTGCAAACATGCTAAACAATCAAAAAAATCAAATCTATTATACTGTTAAAAAACAGCTTTGTAGTTGAATAATGGGTATCTAGCTATTTAAAACTCAGGGATCAGGGGGTTTATGTAGCAGTGACTTCAAAAAAGCATGTGAAATCCATTTCTAAAATTTCAGATAAAAACATTTTCAACATAAAAATACGTCTGAAGTGTAAATGCACGTCTGATGCAGATCTCACGTAAGTGAGACAGCACAAATGAAAACTAATACTCTCGCCAGCAACTCCCAGGTTTGTTTTGCTCTCTCATGCCACAGAGCATCATAGAATGGTTCAGGCTGGAAGGAACCTTGAAGATCATCAACCCCCCTGCTGTGGGCACAGACACCTCTCTCCCACAAGCCCAGGTTGCTCAAAGCCCCGTCCAGCCTGGCCTAGAGCACTGCCACGAATGAGGCATCTACGACTTCCTTGGGCAACCTGTGCCAGTGCTTCACTACTCTCATGGTGAAGAATTTCTTCCTTATATCTAATCTAAATCTACCCTCTCGCAGTTCCAAGACATTGCCCCTTGTCCTATCACTACAGGCCCTTGTAAAAAGCCCTTCTCCAGCACTCCTGTAGGCCCCCTTCAGGTATTGGCTGCTATTAAGTCACCTCGGAGCCTTCTCTTCTCTAAACTGAGTTTTGAAGCTTAGATGGGGTGAAGCCCTGGCCATACTCAAGCCAGAAGTTTCTTGCTACCAGGTCTATCATCCTACAATGCAACCTGTGATCATGATGCCAGTGAGGTGGGCAGGGCAGCAGGTTGGGAGCCCAGCACAGGCTGGGCTGCTGCTCCCTCACCACCAAAACGTCCTGATGGGTACAGAATCACAGAACATAGAATCATAGAACACTTTTGCTTGGAAGAGACTTTCAAGATCTTTGAGCCCAACTTCTGTCCTAGCCCTATCAACACCACTAAACCATGTCCCTCAGCACAACATCCATCCATCTCTTAAACACCTCCAGGGATGGCAACTCAACCACCTCCCCGGGCAGGCTGTTCCAGTGCCTGACACCCACAGAATCACAGAATGTCAGGGTTTAGAGTGGACCTCGAAAGATCATCTAATCCAACTCCCCTGCCAAAGCAGGATCACCTACAGTAGGTCACACAGAAATGCATCCAGGTGGGTTTTGAATGTCTCCAGAGAAGGAGACTCAGGTATCCCACTGCTTTCTGAAAGCACTTCTTCAAACCGCAATTGCTACCAAGTGAAATGTTAAACACTTCTCTGTTATTTCTCAGGATTATCCTTGTGGCATGAATAGGGCAAGCTGGGAAGATGGAGAAAATATAACACAGGGTACAAAGCCACCACCCTGTCAGTGTTCTTTCATTCCAGAGGATCACTCCACTTAGACCAAAACACTTCCAATTAACTCACTAACTAATGCTGTAAATGCCAAGAGGTAATTGCAAACAGCTTATCTATTTCAATGAAACCTAGGTTTAAAGTGTCCCTAGTGACTCCATTCCCCAGACACAGCTGGGCCCATGCTCCTGAGAGCTCCGACACAAGATCCCATTACTGCAGTCTCACAAGCTGCTTTGTTTCAGCTCAGAGGCGGTGACAGCCTCTGGGCATGGCAAATCTGAGATGATTCAACTCGGTCTACCCAGCAGCGAAAGAGGGATGAGTGACATGAGACCTGCTCACATTTGCCATAAAGGAAAAGTTCACTGATGCAAAGCGTAACAAGACCCCAAGGTAGCCAGAAATTTGCAATGGATCTGCCTGTATCATCCCCTTACCGCATCCTCTCCAAAGAGGCCAAAAGGTTTTTAAATGAAAAATATGCTTCAGAAGAGAAACAAAGATAATTAATCAAGAATGAGCAGAGAAGAGAGAGAAGAAAAAGGTTTATGTCTCATTCTCTCCATGCCCACCAAGACCCAGCATGAGGATCTCCTCCTTTGTGGTTGGGATTAGTCAATACAACTACTCCTAGGAAATCCTGCCCAGCACACTTCTGTTCCTAAAGTACCTCTCCCACACCTCTATGGCTCGCCATCCTCTTCATCCTTCTCCTCCTCTTGGCCAGTTCCCCTCTCTACCCTTCAAGCTATGGGTTCACTTCACACTTGCTCTCCTCCCTTCATCTCTCTCTGCAAAAGTCCTGTCAGACCCAGACAATTCTTTTTTTAAAAGAAATATAATACAGCTGTGAGAAAGGAAATAAAAATAATATTACTACTAAGGTAATACATTAAGTCTGTAGCACAGACCAACTGATCAGCTGAGATGCGCCCTTCACCCCAACGCTTCACACAACTGCTTTTCTCTGCAGCTGTCAGCTCAAGGAGGCAAGAACCACACATGTAATTCAGTTTGGGATAAATCACAAGCATGGCAAGTGCTACCAGGAAACCTCATGTAATCTTCTCTCTCTCTGTTGGGCCCCTCTGATGTGCCGGGGTGGAAAGCAGTGGCTCTTGCAACTGCTAGCACAAGTCTGAGCAATACTTACAGCTGATTGTAATTCCAAGCTCCACACCTCTTTTCTTGGGCAATTTAACGTGGAAAGTACCGCTGCTGGGTATGACAGACTCTATAAAACCAAAATAGACAAAAAGAAAATAGGAGAAAAAAGAGTTTTCAGTTGTACGAGTGGTTTCTTTGGAAGAAAGAAAAACAAGCTCCATAAAACTCAACTTTCCTGGTTCAAATAAGTTTGTTATCAGAGGCCCTGTGGACTTGGTTAAGATTTGAATTCTCATTAAATATGCATGCTCTGAATGTCAAGTGAAGTGCTCACATCACATCGTATTTCAAGATTGAGGGAGCTCTGTCAATTTGAAAGAAAAAAATCTTTTTTTTAAAATACAAATCTGCACTTTAGTCCCAGTCATTAGCTTTGGCTCCCTCTTTGCTTCAAGGCCATAAATTAATATAAATATTATTCATATTATCGGCCAAACATTTAAACAGTTGCCTCTGCCTCTATGCCTTAGGTTTATCTCAGCCAAGTGGTGAGCACAAGGCATTTATGAAAAGATCAGAAGAAGGACTCTCCATCTCGGTGCTCATTAGAGAACAGTAAGAAATGGAAAAGGTCCTCACCGGATCTCCCCGTTCTTCCCTCTGAACTCTAGCAAAAACCTCATGTATTTATGTGAATACAGCCCCTCTTATGGGTTAGCAGAGGAACTGGCAGAGTCCCGCTGGTAGCGAGGAAGAGCAATTCCTTTGGCAATGTACCTGCAACATCAAATTCAATCTCGAGCACCACTTTGTTCGTGAGAGCGGCATCACGCAAAAGCTGATTAGCTTCCTCCATAGTCCCGTCCTCAGTTGCAATGCCGTTGATAGAAAGGACTCTGTCTCCTACTTGTAGCAGCCCACACCTGCAGTCCACATCAGGAAAAGAGGAGAAGGGAACAAGGAAGCAGGGAAAAAAGAGGAAAGGAGGAAGAAAACAACCCCACAATCAGCCATGAGTTACTTTTGCCAGGTAAATCTGTTATAAAGCGCGGAGTAGTGAGAAATCCTGCAGAAGTGGCCCCAAAGAGATGACAACCCATTCTGCAATGTCCGTCCTCATGCTGAGAGCCCCTGGACAGTCACAAGCAACAAAGTCTTGTGGTTTACTTAAGTTCAGACATACTTTGCTCCTAAATAATCATTTTCAGTCACAGAAAAAAAAACACACACAAAAAGCAACAAAAAAGAAATCCTCACCTTTTTAAAAGCCAACACCACGGCCAAGAGATGAGGGTGATAAATGCAAGGGCATGTGCCCTCCTACGCTATCTGAGGACACAGTTCTTTCCACATGTCTACATCCTCTGAAACCCAAACTACTGGCACTGAAAATGGCACTGATTCCTCTGCTTAATACATGGCTAATACTGAAGCTAGAATCCAATGAAGTCACTGAAATGTCAGCAAATTAGATAATCATCCACCCCTTGTAACTGCATTTCTGGAATCCACACTGATACTGTTTAACTGTCTTGAAAGGCCAATATTATTCTGATGCTACAGCCTGCCTTGGTTTAGACCCACTTTCTCTAAGAACAGAGATCAGCAGGTTTTTGACTTTGGAAGAAAAACAATGATGGCAAGGCATGGTTTGTCTCTTATTTATAAGCAAGGTTTTTTATACGTGAACCCACAAATTCCGACATTTGCATCTCCATTTTTTATTATTTTTTTAATATACCGCAACACCAGCAAAATAATCCCCCAAGTTACCTCCAAAACCTAATCTGAGCTGGCCTGTGGCTCTACAAAATCAAAAATGTGGTGTTCCCTGTGACCGGCCACAGGCAATCGCCCACCTTCCTTCTCCACGCCCGTCGTCAGTGGTTCACTATAACCACAACTCTTCAGACTTTCCACCCATCTGTAAGGCTGTCCACTTGAGTAGAGCCTGGGAAACCATCCATCACTCATCATTAATATAAGCTACAGGTTGGTCTCCAAAACAGGCAGAGAAAGTCTAAGGTTCACCTCAACATTTGGAGTTACTTTACTACAAACATTTCCCAGAAGGCATCAGCTATCCTCTTTTGAACCTTCTTCAGAGGATCTTTACTCTCTTCCTGTTTAATGATCAAGCCCATCCTTCATCCTCTCCTTTCTAGATGTCAGCTTGCACTGATACTTCATGGAAGACAGCTTGTTTTCTACTAATCCTTCTAGCCACTCTTCACAAATCACACCTGACTCAATTGTAAGAAAACATGGCACTACAGCTTCCAGGTACATGAAGATGGCATCAAAGGACCCCGATAGGGGTTATATACCTTCCAACAACAGGGTGTACATGAAAGGCCAGCTTATCAAGAAAAAAATACACACATACAAATTCAAGAGAAATGCACAAGCACAACAGTTCTTGTTGGTGGCCCATCAAACGCTGAGATATGAGCAAGTTCAGAGAGAGCCTAGGGAGGTTATTTTACTGGTAGGAAGGTACTGAACTTACAGTATATTTATGCTGCTGCCTGAGTTCATGCCATCCATTAAAAAAATGCTGGCTATTTTATGAGATGTAAATTCAGAATTGTTTGTTCAAGGAGACTTGGATTAAGACAGACAACTCCATGGTGTATAAATGAATCCACCCTTGCGAATAAATTACATCAAGTTTAATCACAGTCCGTTACTGGATTCGTGGCTATGCAGCCACTTAGATGTGCTTGGAAATACCAGCTAATAAATACAAAGATGGCAAGGAGTATGAGAGATGCCTCCTCCAGCACCAAGAGCTCTTTTGCTAAGGCCACAATGCACCTTTTAGAAAGAAGGGATCAACAGCTCCATCGCATACATATCACTGTCATTTCAAGGTCACAGAAGGACACAATCTATTTTGGCACCACTGTTGCAGCTGCAAGGGCTGGCAGATCACCAGATACTTTTACACAGCATCAAACTAAACGTTTGCCATCTTTTCCACCAGAGTTGCCTTCCACGAAACAACCATTTCTCATGTTTCTTCAGTCAAGGGGTCTTTTATAGCCAATAGCTCTGTTAGGTCAGAAGTATTTTATTTCATTTACTGCCAGCCTCAGTCAATCATGGTTGTTTAAACCCCAGCCTTGTAGGTTTATAAAAGCTTGTGGAGTGAAGTCGCAACCTTCTGGCTTCCTCAATGAGTGCAAGGAGAACCGAGGTGCCTTATTTAACCCTTCAAAATAATTCCAGAAACACTAGTTTCAAGCTGTCATGTGCCCTTGCACTGGGAGCAGGACCCAGGAAGCCAAGGCTCCTGCAGATGTCTCCTTGGCTCTGCTGTGGGATCCTATATGAACCTTTTCCCAAAGAGAGAGTATCTGTCTAAAAGGTTCACAGTCTTAACATCATGGGTGGAGAAGTGATTTAAAATCAGAAAGAACAAGAGTACAGGCATCCCCTGGAGTGAGAGACAGCCCAGTGGATGTGTTGGAGTCCATGACTGGAGCGTCCCCCTGCCATTGCAGAGATTTGCATTTTGTCATGACTTATTCCCTGGGCTCGAAGACAACAACGGAGCAGCAGAGGTGTCTTGCTAGACACAAAGCAGCACCTATTCAAGCCTTGGGCAGAATATGTGCTAAAGATCTTAGCAGCAGCAGCACCTGTGTGGTCACTCTAGCTGTGGGGTGAGCAGCAGCAGCTGTGACCACGGCCACATCACCGGCTGCAGAAACCCATCTGTCATGCCCTACATGCCTCCAAGTTGCCTTGCACAGGTGCATCTGTACATCTCTGTGTGCATATTGGTGGGTGAGTACCAGCCCCCAAAAGATCAAAGCTTTGCTGACAGCTTCATCCAGCTGCTAAACTTTCCTCTTGCAAACTATTCATACTCAAAAGCCAGAAACACAATGATCAAACAACTTTGTCTGAGCAGAGCTAGTTTGCAGGAAGCATTGATTTTGGATACCACGATGGAGAAGCCAGATACTCTTCCACTGCTGTCAGTGACAGCTGGAGGAGGAAGGACACAAAAGCTGCGTGTTTCAAGACAGCCAAGAAAGCACATCAGACATATTTCCACTCCATCCTCCCTGCTGATAACAGGGGCTGAATCACCGTCTCATTTGCAGCCCAAAGGCTTCATCCTGCACCCAGGAAACAAAATCACAGGTGGGGAGGGAGGCCTGTTAGAAGCTATTGGCTGTAACACAAATCACAAGTCAGGCAGGTGAGAGCTTTTGCTTCAAACTGCCTGCCACAAGCCAGCACCAAGCAGATAAAAAATTCAAGGCAGCCCAACCTTCCTGAAAAGAGAGTGATGCTGTCCTTCTCCCTGGTAGTACTCACATTTGCCAGATACACAAGAGGCAGCACTTCCACAGCAAGCCAGATGGACAAAGTGAATATGGACTGTGTGCTTGTGCAACTCATGTTCTAATCCACAGGTCTTGCACCAGAGCATGTGAACATGCAGGCTGCCACATCTGATCCCTATATCCCCACTGCTCACCCTCTTTTGCAGAGCAACAACTGCAGCACAAGAAAAAACACAGCCCAGCCTCAGCTGAGATTCTGGCTTGGTAAAGGGGAGAAAAATGGCTCTGATGGCTTGGGCTGCACTTACTGGAGAATGTCTCCAGGGCAGGGAACTAGGTATCTGGGAAGAATTGAGCAAACAAGCTCTGTGGGATAGCAAGAAACAAAAAATGAAATGAAAACATGCGACTGCCTTTTTCACCTCACTGCAAACCTAGCACGCTTATCAGTTCAAAATGGGGAGGAAAGACAGTGTTTTTCTGTCAGCTAGGAAGAGCAGCACAGTCTAGGAGACGAAGAAATATGCCACAGAGATTTAATCCCCAAATCAAATCTGGGCTGCAAACACAGAGAGGATTGCTCCCTGTCACCAGAAAACAGAAGGCAGCAGCCAGGAGAGCGCAAATCCTGCTGGGTGGGCAGCCGAAAGGGAGAGCAGCGTGTGTGACACATCAGAGCCAAGCAAGACTGCACCGCGAGTCTCTGCTTTGGCTCCAGGCTTGGCAAGAGGATAAAGCAAAGCCAGGCGGACTTCAGCACATCTCCCTCCTCCCCTGGGACATCAGGCTTTGTTGCTGCATGATTTATAAGAGGAGTTTGGTGCTTTGCTACGTGAGCCAAATTCACCCTGGAAATAGAGGATAAAAAAACCAGAAATGCCACCATTTCCCTTTTTAAACTCCATTTGGAAACATACAAACCAACAAAAGGCATAAAAGTTTTTTGAAAACTCTCTTAACCTGTGTCACTCAGGATAATTCTTTTTCCTGTGCCTGCCTCTTGTCCCTGTCCTCCCATGGACACAAGTCCCAGGGACCCATGTCCTTCGCTGCCTCTGCATCACTCACATGGAGAAGACACCACACAGAGACTGCAAGGACTTGCATTTCCTTCTCTAGACGCTTTCCCTGCCGTACCACTTCCTCACTTGCTGTTTTCCCAGGCTGGCATGGGGACACTAAACCATCAGTGGATGCTGATAAGACACTTGGAGATTTCTGCTCCCTAGGAAGGGTCTGCAGCCGGTGCTGAGCACTGCCACGTAACTGCACCTCTAGCACCTCCAGGCAGGACAGATCACCAGTGGAAAGCACAGATAGGAAGAGAAACCAGCATGGAGCCATCAGTGTCAGCTCACCCACCTCTCACTATTTCATCTGCTTAATGGAACCAGCTCTCCTTTCCACTCCACAAGAGCACAAGGCTTTTCTTACTAAATAGTCCTCGTGTGTTTAGTAGGAAAAGCCTTGCTAGAGGGCAGCAGCATTGTAGGCTACAGGCTCTCAAGCAAACTTTAAATCCAGCCAGCAAGGGTTTGGGAAAAGTTTAGCCAGAGCAACCAGAGCGCCTGAGCTGAGGCTCGCCCACCAGAGGAATCATTGCTGCCACTGTCCCGGGGGGTTACACGCAGCAGTTACTGCATTCTGCTCTTTTCCCACCATTATAGAACCAAAAGCAAGAGTGCTTAAATGCAGCACCTACCTGCTCCTCAACCAGAGCCCTCCTCTGCTGTTCAAAACCTTGGCTTTAAGGCTAATTTATATTGCCGGGCTCTGCTACAACGAAACCAGGCAGAAAACACTTTGCTGGGCCCACTTGTTCAGGTCTTTCCCCTTTCTGTACCCAGACAAAAGCTTTATTTTCAAAGATAAAGGCAAAGAAAAGGAATGGGAATGGCACTCTCACACAGACACACGCTCCCTTCCTCCTCCTCCCAGAACAGCCGCAGCCTGGTGCCAAGACGTTCACCTGGGATGCGAGGGAGGCCGCGGTCAGCCGACGAGTGCAGAAATGGCAGTGACAGTAAACCATGCCCAGTGAAGAATGGGAGATATTACAAGGATGATAGTAAATATCTAAATGAGCCTCTGAGGAGAGAAAACAAACCAAACCATGAAATGTTCAGCAGCAGCACCATCAGCATCCAAGGGCAAGGTCTCTAACCTCTCTGCCGGGCTGTCAGGCTCAATAAAACGGACGAGAGGTGGGGAAGACAGGGTTTCAGTAGCAAAGATGCCTCCCTGGAGCTGAAGTCCGAAGCCATTCAAAGGGTCTCCCCTGAGCACCACCTCTGTCGTCTCCGTGTGGACTATCTGCCCGCCAGGACCCACTGTGCTGGAGGCCAGCGACACTGAGAGGAGGAGAGAGGCAGAAGGTCAGGGTAGCCACGGTCAGCATAGCAGATCTGGTCACAGACTTTGGTCTGACAGTGGTGTGGACAGTAACTGAGGATGTGGGAGGCACTGGCAGTGCTGAGATGAGCCATCCTACCCCAGATAACAGTCAACAATAAGGACAGCAAGGCAAACACGCATGCCCCGTCCAACCCTGCCCCAGCCCACCACCACTCTTACGTGAGCTCTTGTGCTCCTTCTTCTTCTGCCTCCTCCTCAGCATGGTGGTGCGGGGGCTCATGGGGTGAGAACTGCGAGGTAGCGTGTTAGAATTCTGGCAGGGGAAGCCTTGCGCGTTCATGGTGGGAGACGAGAAGTTGGCAGTCACCAAAGCTGGGGAAATACAGAGCGTGTTAGGGACATGCACAGAGAAGGGCAGCAGTGGGTTCACCTCAAACACCTAACAGGTTCAGACTAGCTCCTTCTTCCCAGCTCCAGGACTCAAGACAAGGCGAGAACCTTGCCCTGGGCTTACAGCTCCAGGAGAGCTGTGAGAGTGGGCTTGGACTCCAGATGGACATAGCTCTCTGGCGTGCAGTGACTCCAGTGACCGGGCTGCCTGTTGCTGTAGCATCCAGGCCCCCAGGTGAGAAATGCATCATGGATACAAAGAGACACTGCAGCTTGAACTTGAGTCGCTGGGCAACTGGGCTGCCGTGTTTGCTTCCCTCAGTTCAGACACAGTGCACTGTTTCTTCCTCCTTATTTTAATCCCCATAAGACAAGAAACTTGGGGTTGCACAGAGCCAGCTTCATGCCAGAGGCGGGGTTACAGGGGTTGAAGCCGCCATAATCCTGCTGCTAAGGTGCTGTGTGGCAGTAGGGCTGAGCTGAATGCATTGTCATATCACATTCCTACACATCACCAGAGATACCATCCTTATCTCATGGAAACTCATTTTTGCCATATGAGACCAAGCACTGAGGTGAGGACTTAAGAGGATGGGAGTATGGGTCTGCCCAGCGCACTGCTTGTATTGAAGTTACCAGATCTGTGTGTGCTGGGCTGCAGACACTGATTTTGTACCTCAGCACTGGACTTGTGGAAACAGACTCAGGAGACCAAGGAGAAAACAAGTGACAAGCCAGGCTATGGAGTTGGGTATTAAGGAAATGGAGGGAACAGCGTGATGGGGACAGTGCCACACGCCAAGCTCACATTTGCAGTAATCCTGTCCAGATGTCTGGTTCCAAGTGGGTGTCTTGCAGTGCCCAGGGTGGTGGGTGTGACAGTAGTTGACACAAGGGTCCCAGCAGTGGTGGTGGTCACTCTTCTGCACCTTGACTGATGGCATCCAGGGGAACAGAAATCACCACAGGCAGGGAGAAGTGAGAGAAAAAAAAGGTAATAAGCTTAAGCCAGGAGATTGTAGAAAACAGTCTCGTACCAGCTCTGAACAAGTCAGGACCCAACTACAGTGTGTCAAGCACCAGCAGCGAAAACGCATCCCCACGTAACCTCACGACACTTGATGCAAAGTGGCAGAAATCCACCCTTTCCCCATAAAAATCTTCACTTCCTGAGCCAATGGCCTGACTAAGCCGCGTTGGCAGCACACAGATGTCATTACCATTTGCAGTCTGTTGTGCGACATGCAGGAGCTCTCCCAGCCACAAGTTTCCCACAGAGGCCATCAGCATTATCTGACAGCACCGGGGAAACCTCCTTGTGCTGTTTCCCACCTTGCTGCTGGAGCTGCCCTCCCGGGGACGTGGCTCAACGCCTTCTGCACATGCCAAGGACAGCTTTGAGCACTTTGCTTGGCTTCAGCATTTCGTTGTTTAGCAGCTGGTCTTGGCCAGGAATGCACATACGGATGAAAGAGAGGAGTAGCAGAGGGCTGCCTCCAGCACACCAGAACAAAAGGGATTTTATACACCATTGCCTAAAGGCAATTACGGAGGGCCACTGACAGAGGAAAAGACGCCAGCAATGTGGCAAATAGTAAATTAAAAGATGGCATCAACATGGCAGACTCTGCTCAAGGGCATTCAACTGCTTTAGCTTCAAGTCTAACCTCAGCCCAGCATATGTTGGCAGAAATCTGTTGCAATGTGACATTCATCATCTGGAAAACTCTTGTCTCAGGAACTTTGCGACATCAAGTCACAGTGCCACAAGTCTCCTCTGAAGTGTCTCAAACACCGCCCCAGGCACAGGTCCCTCTCCTGTCCTCTCTGATGCTTCTTTTGCCCCTGGGTATCACAGGATCACTTTTCTTTTCGTTGCCCAACACCACTAGGTTCTCTCTCCTGAATCTCTGCACCATGCTGTCTGGATCCATCTTCTTTCAAGAGGAATTGCTGGCTAACGAGCAAGATTGTAATCATCTGTTTTATTCAGCTAAGCGTGAAAGGCATCCCATGGTGGAGCATCGCTACAGCCACACATCATCCCAGAGCCCTTAACCTCACAACCGCTGGCACTGACTGGCAACCGCCTTCCCAGGATGAGATCTCCTCCAGGCTCTGTGTCCTCCAAGCAGGTAGAAATGCCTCCAGTGCTGGCACTGTCAGAGCTTTCTGAGGGTGCAAAGCTGGGACAGGGACTCGGTTTATTCAGTGAGTCCACCCAGAGATCTCATCTAATGGTCATCTGTTAGTGTCTTTAATGGTGGAAATCCATTTTGTGAGCGTGCATCACAGGCATCGAATCATTTAGGTCAGGGTTTCCAACTAATATAGTGATTATATACAGTCTTTGCTAAACATTTAGTGAGTTTAGCACTTAGTCTATCAAGCTCTTAAAAATATACTTTCAGCTCCGAGGTTTTGTGGATTCAGAAGTAAATTCAGAGCCAGACAGACTTTAAAAATAAAAATGTAGCTGTATCTAGACAAAAAGGAAAGTTCTTAATAAAATTAAGCACTTTGAACATGAGGGACAGAGCTTACAGGCATCTACACAAAATAATTTAATCCATTTATAGTAATTAAAATTCTCCCATTTGTCTATAAATTCTTAGCTTACATCCGACAACAGAAAAAAGTGCCTTTGTAACTTGGCTGTCAGTGCATTGGGGAAGTGAAGATATTTTGAACAATTCTGTGACAAAAACCTGCAGCAGCCTTCCCCAAGCTTTCACACATCATCCCTGCCTGAGGAGATCCATCCATCCCAGCACCGCCTCTGGGCACCACCTGCTCCTGTTGATCTTGTGAGCAGGACTTAATTCTCCCACAAACTCTCCAAATGCCCCCAGAGCCACAGAGAAAGCAAACTCAGTTTGACAAATCCTCTGCTTCAGCATTAGACCATATCCTTGCATGGCCCCTGCAGCTTCAGATCCTTCTCCACCTCCTCAATAACCGGATTTTGATTGCACGAGAAGCCACTTTTAAAAAAAATATAATGACACACCCCATGCAGGCACACACTGGAAGGACTAAGTAACGCAAGTGCTCAATAGGGATGTCTGTACGGTCTCCCCTCCTCAGCTGCTTTCCCTGGGCTTCACTGTCTTGCCTACCACAACAAGGTTTTTTTGCAGAGACCATTTTTTCCTTATTGCACCTGTTTGCCTCCCTAAACTCCCAAAAAGCAGCCTGTGAAGATGGCACTCTGAGTCTGGAGCAGAAGGTCCAGATGCAGGACTCCAGCGCAGTTCCTTGGCTGCTCACCATGGGCTGTGTGATGCCACAGCTGGTTACACCCCTGAGGAGTGCTGCTTCCTGAGCTGCCTCTCTGGCCCAAAACACACTCCTTCTTGTCCTCACCACCCTCCATCAGCACTAGTGAAGGTTCAAGCTCAAGCACTGGTCTCCAACCACACACCTGTGCCTCCCAGCAGTCATGTGGATGAAGAGCATCCTTCCCCACAATCCTTTGCATGTTAAAGACTTTAATTAAAAGCAGAAACAATCATTATATCCCTTATTTTCCATATTCATGTATTGCAATTATTCTCCCAAGTTTGTGTCCAGAAAACTGATTGGATGTACAGAGGTTTGGGTAAAAGGGCTCTGAACACATCAAGCTGTCCTTCCACAGATCTTCCTTCTCCTGAGGTGCTGCTGAATGCATATATTCTGAAAGAAGATTGGGACCAGGGCACTAATGGAAGGAGGAGAACAGTTCACTTTAACAGCCGTCAAATAACGATTATAGCTTTCCATTTTTCTTGGGCACAAAGGTCAAGTCATCCATCCTCTTTGTTAAACTGCTTTAATTCTGCATAAATTGGACTGGACACATAAGAGAGTTATTTCTAGACATGGAGATATTACATTTTATGTTTCACTGCATGGTGTTAAAGAAGACAACACAGATATTTTCCTACTTTCCCCAAACCACCCTAGAAGGGAACAGAAAGAAGAGCTTTGCCCAGGCTACTGTGCACCAGTATTATTAAAATGCATGTCCTAAAGAGACAAGTGATTAGAAATGGTTGCAGAAGGGGCTGGTACTGAACAGTCACGCTGAACACTCCAATTAAAAGACCACCAGTATTGACTGTAACAAAACAGCAGGCAGGAGTTGCAACAAATTTACTAGTACTCAGGTTATGTTCACAATGAAATTTATATAAAAGCCTAAGTCAGCCTCTCACATGGAAGGAGAAACTAAAGGTGAGCAGCAAGGATGCTCATCAGGGTGAATTCCTAATGGGGTTTACAGGCATTTTGGGCTTGATTTCAGTGGAGCTAGCATTTCTTTCGGGGGGGGAGTGGAAAGCAGCAGCTCCAGACGCACTGACTCTACCTCTGTCGCTCAGACACAGCTGCCTATCAAAGAGTCTGGTCTGGAACATGAACACTCACGTCACAGCTTTGTTTCCTACAGAAGTCCAGAAGGACCCTAACTAGTTACTGACATGTCCTATACAAAGCCTTACCGGGCATCAGCAAATGAAAACTGAGCTTGGAAATACATTTGCCAGCCCCAAGGTTGTTTTCCTCTCTCTCCATTAAAGTGTCTTTTCTGAGATACTAAAGAAGCAGCTTGCACAGCACTCAGAACTGCAAAATCCTGGGATTCCCAGCTCCAATTTCCCCATTCAAACACAGATGTTACCTTTTTTTTCCCTATTCACATCCTTGAAGAACACCATCTAATCACATGCATTTCATCAAAACATTTTTTTTTTTATTTCCCTCCACAGATGTCTCTCTTTGGAGGCTGTTGTCAGCATTCAAAAGCAACAATAACTCCAGTAGTGACCTCAAGTGAATGTGGAGGGTGGTCACAGTTTTTGCACAGAGGACACACCTGTTTCTGGAGGCTTCAAAGGCAGTCTGCTTTGGTGAACAGGTAATATCTCTAGCTTGACGTTTTCTGAAGTGGCAGCTAAAAGCTGAGTTGCCTCTAATAAGGAGCAGTGCTCTGTGCTTGTGCCATCTATGGAGAGAATATGGTCGCCAACATGCAACGCACCACATCTGCAAGGGAAATAGCAAGAGACGTAATTATAGACACAGCCAAAACCCACGTCCTTACAGTTGGGAGCAGACAATACACAATCCAGTTGTGAATTATTGTGAGAATTAGCATGATTTTTTTTTTTCATATCTCAATTTTTTACTTTCAATTTGAACCTCAGGTTCAAATGATGCCCAGAGTATCAACCAAGACGGTTCATGTTTGAGTCAGTGCTGCTGGTGGCTTGGGAAAGATCTTTTTAAGTTTTTAATAGTGTCCACTCATAGCTGATCTGGATGAGGGCTCACCCAGCAGCATGGTTAATGTGACTAGCTGACTTGCCCATCAGGAAAAGGCTCTAGCCAAGAGTTTCCAGAATAGGCTTTTGTCATTCCACAGCTCTGTGGCAGTCAGATCCAAAGTTTTCAAACCAGAGCTCAGCTTTCACATGCACTGAGTTACTTTCATTCCCGGTGAGGAGTGTCCACTGGCATTGGGTCATATATTTTTAGCATGTTTACTGCTAAGAACATGTGGACACGACCCTTTCAAGGTGAGGCAGGGAAGAGTAGTATACAACTAACAGAGGGATAAAAAAAACAGCAGGGAAAGGAAAAGCAGAGCTAGGAGCAGCCTGTTCAGCTCTGTACCTGTCCACCACGCTGGCTGGCTTGATCTTGTCGATGACAATAACCTGCTTGTTCCGGTGTGTGGTTGTTGTCAGTGTGATTCCTAGCGTAGACCCCGGAGTTTTTGCTATTTCAACTAGTAAAGGACCTGAAGCATTTGCTACAGTATCTGCAAAACAAGAGAGCATCTGAAGACACTTATCATACAGCCTTTTCCATTTCTAAACGCAGAGGATGGACGAATAGTCCTGACTTGCCATATGTACCAGCAAACTTGTAGTTTGAACTTCCTACAGTCTGTATCACATGGTAACGTAACAAAAAAGCAAAGAAGCAAAATTGCTTCTACATGAACCATATATATAATAATGAAATAAAGAGATACTACAATAATTCACTCATGAAAGCAACTGCCCTGCCTCTTTTCTTGGGGTTAAATAGTAGATCCAGAAAGAAGTTGTTCAAAGGCTGTGCAGTAGTCACATCAACTGTACTAAAAACACTAAAAAGGAAGATCAGAAGGAGATCACTGTTACAGGCTTCTTCCCAAACAAAAAAGAAAAGGCATAAAGAAACAGGATCGCACTTTCTGAAGTACTCAGAAGTCTTGCAGGCTGATGACCAGCACACAAGCCAGTCAGCCCCTGTGTGCTTCAGTACCAGCTTTGAAATATCATCCCAAATGCTCCTCCAGTGCGACCGTGGGAGCAGAGACACAGCACTACCTATCGACATGCTTACAAAAGCCTCCGCTTTCCCATCAGACAGTACAGGGGTAACTCATGTTTAAAAGATGCATTTCTGCAATAAGCTTCATAGAAGCTCTAAGTGAGGCTGTGGAACTCCTACAAAATTGCATCTGTTGGCATAAGCCTGCCCCATACCTATTCATCTCTTCTGAGGAAGGGGGAGGAAAAAGAAAGCCTGTGTCTTCTGGCTGATTAGACAGAAATTCCCTCCACCTCTGTTATACACATTTGCTTCCAGATTACCTAAAGCCAGCATAAAGAGGCTGGATTCATGAACGCGTTATCACCACCAGACATCCTATAACCAGCACTCCATGTCTGACCCCTCCCCAAAGGCACTTCATGGAAAGCCAGCCATCCACTTTGAAGGAAAGGCCAGCAGATTCCTCTGAGAGCTTGATGCTCCCTCAGCCCTTAATTATTCATAGTAAGGCTTTTCTCTTCCAAAGCTATGCTCCACTAAAAATGCTGATGCTATTTGGCTCCAAAACTTGATGCATGGCTCATTCTTGCTCTCTGATAACTGGGAGCGTTAACGCAGATCCCAGAAGCTAAGCTGCAGCGAGGTCTTTCCTGAGATTTGTTGAAGACGCTGAGTCTCTGGAGATAAAAATTTCCCTTGGAAATTTACCCTGGGGATCAGTGAGGAGGAACAAGCCATGCTAAAGGTTATGCAGGCTTCGAACAAAACCCTGTTTATTCTCTGTTGAAAAGGACTGGGGAGATCTGCAGGCCCTGGTGAAAAGCACAGTCCCAGTTCAATCAAAAGATGTACAAACCATCCAGGTAAAGCCTGCAGAAGGTGCACTTAAGCCTCCGTTAGCAAAGGAAGCACCAAGAGACTGAGGATCTCTTCCAAGAGCAAACACCAGTTATATGTTGGTTTTGCAGCTCACGCATGTCCAGCACATATGCTCCGAAAAGGGATATGACTGAAGGGAAGGAGATGTGAAAAAAATCATGAAAAAAAACTTGCTGGAGTGGTAGACCTTTCTTTGCAAGGAAAATACCTACTCTTCTTGATTTTACCCAGCTTCCAAGCTTTTTGGCTTTGCCAAGTGGTTTCCAGGGCCACCTCAGCACAATAGTGAGAAGAGCAAGCTTTGGGTACCTATTTCCACGCCAGGGCCTGGGCTGTCAATAAGACCATAGGAAATCCCAGTCTCGCCTCCAGCCCATGGTCCTTCCTCCCACCACACACAGCATGGGCCACACCATCATCCCTTTTAATTCCCATTTCCAGCGGCACAGATGAGAATTGCTCCAAATCCATTTTTCAGAGGAGTTTGTTGAGGCAATACCAGCCAAGTTGCTATTAATTATTCGAGGGAAAGATTTAGCTCAAATCAAAGGTCAGGAGTCTCAATTTAGCAATACTTGTGAGGTGTGATTAACATGGAGCTATTACACCCAAGCCAATTTAAAAATTAAAAAAAAAAGATACAAGGGAAACAGAGTCTACTCCATGTAGTCTGACACCTCACTGCGGAAGGTACAGGAGAGCTGGCTACCCCATTGCTCAAAGCTGGGGGTTGGCAGGTGTTTTGTAAAAGATCCTTCTCCTGAGAAGCTTATTCTGGAGGCAATACTGTGGGGTTTTTCCTTCTTGCATTAGGTTTCCTTGAGCCTCATGTGGCTTTGCTCCACCGCCTAATGAGGAATGGCTCCTGTAACCAGGTTGGGAAGTGTTACAAGCACTTGCCCAGGGAGTAAGTGAGGTGTGCTGGTAGGGATGACTTTTACCCTGCTGTAGTGCGCTTTGTGGAAGAGAACGTAAAAGGAAAAAAGGAAAAATGGAAAGGGAAAAGGTACCCCCTTATAAATACAAACCAAATAACTCAAAGTCTCCTAGAATAACCAAACCAGGGAGCCACTCGCACCCTAATACAGCCCAGCGGCTCATGATCCCTTCAGCTTCATGGACACATGGAGGCATCTGACTTCATGGACCCTCTTCAGGTACCACCCCCTGCCACCATTCTGCGAACACCCAGCGGTCACCTGTCTATGGGACACTACCAGCCCTCTAGTTCCATCAGCAGGAGAGCCTCACAGGACTAAAAATCTCCAGCCTAAAAACGAATGGACAGAAGGGCAGCCAGAGGAAGGGAGAGGAGGACACAGCAAATTGCTTTGCTCAGTTATCATCTCTGGCAGAGAGCTTCCCCCCTGCATGAGTCAACCCTAAAAGCTTGCAGTGCAGTACCTCGTGCCATGGCACACACAGCTTATATACAGAGAAGCTGTTCAAATGCCACCAGTCTCCAGCCGATTAGTTTATTTGTTTTGTTTTGAGGTGTTTTTCTCTTCCCCTCCCCTTTCTTAAAGGGCCATTCAGTAGAGTGTTACCAGGGGAAAACATCTGTTCATTGCAACGTTTATCTGGCATCAGCAAAGGGCAGAGATTTTCCTGAAGCCCAAGAGAGGTGCATGCCCTGTTTGCACTCCTTTTAAATGGAAATGGCAGATTAATTTAATTCCTTTGGTGGCCTTGAGAAATCTCATCTAATTTGGTTAAAAGCCTGCTGCAGCCCCATCCTGCGCTGGTCTCCCTCATGAAAGTCCGACAGCCAGGGGATGCTCGGTGGCGACGGCAAAAAGGCGCTGCAGCCCTCGCACCTGGAGTGGGGGTGGTCCCATGCAGCTCATCCTCAGCATGCGATTTTGGCTGGGAAGCCACACAGCCAGCTGGGGAACACCATGATTCAACACTCCCCCACAGCAGCCTTGGTCTCTCACCAAGGACAGATGCAGAAAAAAAACTTTCTCTCTTCAAGGGTGAGTCCTCATGTACAGCTGGATCAGTGAATGAGCACAAAGTAAAAAACCTCTATTTTCCCTGGGGATGAACAGGCCAAGCACCACTTCATGGCGATGTCCCCACCTCTTACATTGAATCAAGCAAACCATGCCGTCACATGTCCCCTCAGCCCCTTCACCAAGTTTTCCAAATGGGAACTAAAAGTGCTGCCTTCAGGCTAATAACATCCCTACACTACTTCCAGCACCTGCTCTTCCCTTCCCTCATCATCCTCCTGTGGCTGGTAAAGACAATCTCTGTAACCGTTGTGATTTGGGGATGATGCACTCATCTCTCATTGCAATTATTAGCTGTTGTCTGGCAACTGTCTGCAGAAATCATTTTAAGCTACACATTTTGCATCACCTTTTCTTAAAAGAAAGCAGGGAGAGCATATCCCTTTACAGTGCTGGGGAGAAGCACTCTCTATGCAGAAATTATCTAAGAAAAGGGATGGGTTTAGATCTTGGTTGTGGTCCAGAGTACAGCAATGCAAGATGGAGAAACACTGCATAAAACTCTGCCATCGCTCTGTGTTCACTCAACCCTAACAGTTCTAGGTGGGAGGGTTACTCAAGAAGAAATACCAAGACACCTTCAAGGCTATTTTTGCTTCAAGTCAGGTTTTAAAACAATCAACTTGCTGCAGCATAGGCACCAGGGGACTGTAGAAACAACAAAATCCAAAAAAAGCCCATTTCCCACGCACCATTAATTGTTTGCTACTGTTCAGACTTGACAGCTCTGTGCAAAATCCCTCCTCCTCTCTGCCTGCCCCCTCCCCGGGCAGGGCTGCCAGCCCAGCCAGCCTGCGAGAAGCGGAATAGACAACCCTTACCAACCGCTGCAGAGTTACCACAATCACAATCATACAGAAAGGCAGAAAATAGGGTTCAGGTAGTTTCTGATTTCCCTCATTTAAGTATTTCCTCTTTTTCACAAATACCAGCAAATTTCTAAAGAGAAGCTGCTCCTGTCACGTGGCGGAAGGAGGGCAGCATGCAGCCAACTGCCAATGCATTGGATTTTCCTTCCAGCTCTCCCAACAGAGCCCAGGTCTGCGTGGCACGGTGCTGCCCAGATCCTGGCAGCCTCCTCCCCAGGGGAGATCCCGTATGGCCACGCTTGTGGAGCTTCTGCTGAAAGGAAGGGGGAAAGCTTGGGGGAGGGAGTCTTAAAAGGAAGCAGAAAGCCCTCAGGGCTGGCACAAGTAGCTCCCTTATCCTGATGCAGCCTTCTTGCGCATTGCATGGAGTGAGTGCTGGTGTTCTCAGCTCGCTTTCCTTGGGGTTGGTGTGGTATCAAACTCTCAGCTGCAGATATGTTTTATCTCCCACCTCACTGACATGGTATCACAGGCTCCAGCTCCTCACTGGATCCTAAGCTCAGACGTGTTGAACTGGTTTGTGAGATCTATGGAGAAGGCTCCAATCTAGTCCAGCTTGTGGCTTCAAGTAAAGGCAGAACCCCCTCTGGAGACGTATAAGCAACATCAAACTCTAATGTATAGCTCAACGAGCTTCCAGAACCACACAGCTTCAGACTCTGTGGTAACCTTAAACTCATTAATGTCGCCTCTTGCAGTAACAGCTGTGTGTCTCAAAGCCAGCTCAAAATGACTTTACAGTAGCTAATAATAAACCCTTTCCCAAGGCTTGAAACAGAAAATCAAATGAAAAAAAAAAAAAAGACACCAACCCTCCAAACTCTCAAACTTAATATCTACTGTGAAGAACACTTTTTAGAAATATCCATTCTCTGTCCTTCAGTAAATTCTGTCTTATTTGGGGTCAATCAGTTGATCACCCCTCATTTATTTCAGGAGCAGATCTGAACTAATGTTTCTAAGAAAGGGAATAGCTCCAGAATTAAGCAAGGTCACATTTCAGAACTGAAGCCGCAGCCACATCAAGTCTCTGCCTGCTTGCAGCTCACTCCCCTCACACACCGAACAGCAGGGTTTGCAATGCTGGCAGAGCCCCCTTTAACTCCTGACTTCTCCTATGCCTTCTTTGCCTACATTAGAAAACCTTTTTCCTCTCCTTTAAAACCAGTCATCATTCCCATCAAGGCACATCACGGCACAAGGGTATTTCAGATGCATGCAGCCCAGCCAGCTTTGTGCTCTACACCCTACACCCATGTTGGCAGCACACTGCTCAGCAGTTTTTCCACTGGAAATGAGTATCCCAGTTACTGTGTCTGCTCTCAGATACCTTCCAGGCAGTCAGAGAAAATGCCACCACAACCACCTTGCCCTTACCCATGATGGTCACATCATACTCGATCTGGAAGAGTGCCTCCTGGCTGCACTGCCGCAGGATGTTGAGGGCATCAGCGTGGGTCATGCTGTGCAGAGGGATCCCATCAACGCTCAGCAGCCTGTCCCCAATTTTCAGGGACCCTTCCCTGTAGGAAGCCACAGGCAAAAGGGTTTTTTTGTGTGTGTATGTATTTACTTACATCTAGATATATTTTCTGTATATTTTCTGTATTTCTATACATATATATTGTATAAATATTTTGTGTATTTCTGTATATATATAGTCAATTACTTTGATCCTGTAGGAACTGAACATTCCTTGGGACAGTAGTTTGGGTTATTTATAGTACCAGGTGCATCACATTAAATTAGCGGCATGAGAATGGATAGACTGCCTCTTGCTTTCTAATACAGCATGAGCTATTCATCTGCACAGGGTTAATTAAGCGGCTGTCTCTGGAAGAGGAGTTTCTGCTTATAACTACAACATCTACCCATGGGTCAGACTATGAGCCCCAGGACCCATCCTCCCCATACACCACTGGTCCCACACCCTCACTGTGCTGTTCTACACCCCCAGCATGAGAAGCGTTGGGGAGAGACCAGTAAGGAGGACAAGGACACAGGCCCAGGAGCCCGGCAAGAGCTGCTGGTCTGTTGGAGGTGCAAGAGGAGCATTACCTGTCTGCTGGACCACCCGGCCTCACGTAGGTGAGCACCAGCGGTCTGGACTTGTGCCAGTCTTCATGGGCTCCCCCTGTAATCAAACAGGGAAAGCTGTAAGACACTGGAGGTTTGAAAATCTGAGAGTGCTGAGAAAGGAAAGACATTTATCACATAAGAGCTGACAGCCTGGAAGAAAAAAAGACTACCCTGGATTAGGCAGCCGGTAGTCCTTCAAGGCTGCACAGGATACTCTCCAGGACACACTTTTACTTCTCAGCTGAGGTTTGACATTCATTTTCCTACTTTCCTCTTCCCAAATCACCTCTGCCAGTAGCTGTTCTTTTTATGTTTTTCACTGGAGAAGCTACTAACCTCTCAGCACGAAGCCAAAGCTGTTGCCTTCCTTGTAGAGGGACACCTCGATGGTCTTGGGAATGATGCCAGCACTGCTCTCTGGCACTGAAGGAAGAGAGGAAGACTCAGTTACCCTCAGACAAATCTTTCCTATGCCACCCTGCAAAATAATGCCAAAACTCATCCAAGCAGCACTGTCCAACACCCATATTGCCTCTTCCCTGTTTGGAGGCAAAAATACCTCAACCTGGATGTGTGAACCTTTGTCAGAGTCAAGCTTCATGTTTTAGGATGATTTCACCAGCTCACTGCTGTGCATCTCCCCTCAAATTTATTTTGGTTAATACTCTGACATTCAAGTAAAACCACCTCATTTATCAACTGGTTTTAATGCATTCAGCATTACTGAAAAGCCAGAAGCTTCTGCCACAGATGGAAACTTATTAAAAAAAACCAGTAGCAGTGTAAGGAATCAAGGCACCAGCTGACCTTAAAGAAAATGAAAATCCAAAATCCTCAGTGCAAAAGGTTGAGGGTTTTTTTTTTCCTTACTTTTCATATTTTGACTTTAAAAAAGATTAAGTGAATCCTTTAAACTGATCCTAGGGGCAATTCAGTAATTTTATGTTAAATATACAGTTCTATTTAATGTACAAAAGTAAAGAGAAAAAGAAAGAAACTGTTCCCGTCCCTTACCATCCCCCTGTTATTCAGTGATTTATTGAACTACTGCAGTGAATATGGGAAAATTTCCCAGCCTTCTCCATTCAGAACTGCACATGGCATATTTCAGTCTGGTCCACTCCAAAAAGATCAATTCCTGATCTTCAAACCAAGCGCAATGAATGGCCACAACGATAATCAGAAAAAAAGACCAAGAGCTTGACTTCAACCAGGCAAAGTGGAGCTGAAGGCTCCTCTAGGCATGTCCTCGCCAGCATGTCCCCTTGGCTCATGAGGGTGCTTTTGGAGCAAACTCTCCTCCCTGTCCTCAGCAGCCACGCCGGTCCTCACTGCCAAGCACCCTGAGGGCTTACCACCTGCACGCAAATTCGGGCTAAACTAATGAAAAAGATGTAGAGCACAGGCATGGTACTGCCTTGCAGGCAGGTAGCCCTAGGGACCAGGCTGCAGCAGGGCCAAATAAACTCTCAAAACATTGTCCCCCACACAGCCGCTTTGCTCCAGCTGTGCACAGGCTGCAACGAGGACACGGCCTGGAAATATTCCAGAAGGGAAAAGCTCAGGACACAGGAAGGCTCCCAGATAAGGGGTGACACTCACACACCAAGAAAAGGGTATAAAGCATCCACAAAGGAGTTCGGAAACCATCCAATTTCTGTCCTAAGCATCCAAGCATGAAGCTCTGCAACAGCCTTTCATAAGATCAGTGGGGAGCAGGAAAACCTAAGCTAGTGTTAAAGCAGGACTTGGTTTATTTATGAAAGAGATGATACAACACAGTGGCCTGAAAACCAGACTTGGACTTGCAAGGTCTCTTTCAAAGCAGGAAATTACAGAGTGGGGAGAAAAATCCAAACCCACAGGCACAAGCGATTGAAATACTCTGCATTTCTGCTCTTTGCCCAGGGAAAGAAAGGGAGCGAGAGAGAGGAGGGCGCACCCAACAGTTACAAACCCTCACCGCAGATAAAAGCCCACAATGAGCTGGAGCAAGGCAATACTTGAAAATTCCCTGTACTTTGCAGTGTCTCTTTGTTTGGATTAGTCATAAACAGCATCAATAATCTCACTGAAGAGAAGTCACTATTTCAGCATGCTCTTCCTGCTGTTTCAGAGGTGGGGACATTTTCATCGCTGCTATTGATTGAGCCATGTAGCACTGGCACTGCTCCTTAGCCGGTAAGTACAGCTTATCAGATTCCTGATAGCCAGGCTCATGGCTAAGGAGAAAGGTTAAGACTTGTCATCTCTAGTGAGCACGAGAACATGAAAACTTGAGCTCCAGGTTTACTAGGGTTGTATGCAAAAGCTGACTAAGGTTTACAGCACAACCGAAGAGGATGACAGACAGAGATTCAGCTAATTCAGATTTTATTTTTTGTTGTTCTTGAGGCTTTAGATGGTCATTTATATATTTAATACTTCCCATGTAAAGGCAGCAGCTACAGTAAAGCTATGAAATGTAAGATAGCTTCCTATCTGGGTCAAAATGTTTAGATTTCATTAGTTTTGTTTTTCCTGTCATCTTATTTTCAGTTGTTCTATTCCTTCTGCCCGATCATCTTCTGATTGATCTGGGTAAGGGAATGAGTAATAACCAGGAAGATTATTTTCACAATGCAAAGACTGTGGTAAGAAAGTGTATCGAGGAATTTGTTTTAATCAGAACAAACAAATGAGGGCAAGAGCGCAGTCTCCCACGTCAGGACAAGAGCCTTGTTAATGCTAGTTGGGCTTGCCAGCTTCTGCCAGGGCCCCTCAGCTGGAAAGTAAATTGCTTCAGCTTTCTTTCAAAGCATCTTGAGGAATAACAGCACTTGCCACAGTTCAGACAAGAGGATCTGGCCGTACATGCTGAAGACTGAATAAAACCTTCTGTAGCCACACTCCAAAAGGGATAAAGAAAAACAAGCTGAAGCAGCATCAGGAGGCAGATTGGCCTGTGCTACCGAGTCACTCCGAGGCAAGACAGACCTAATCAGCCATCTCTCACCAGTGTGCATGAACAGGCACCCACTGTGCTGGAAAAAGCACTCTGCTCCGACTGCACACAGCTCTGCAGCATCCACCGCGGCGCCGCGAGCAGATGAAGGCAGAACGTGAAAATGCCCCTGGATACTGCCTTGGCCATGACGGCTAAGGCACGAGCAAGCCCATCTGTACCCCAGGACAAAAAAGCAGCCAAGAGAAGGGAGTAGCTGTTTCAGAGAGGCACCCACCGGCTGGCGGAAGCTCGTACTCTACTTCCAGCACGACCCTTTCGCCCACGTTTTTCAGCAGGCTTATGATCTCGTCATGCCGCAGCTTGGTCAGGTTAATGCCATTCACCGACTTGATGTAATCCCCAACGTTCAGCTGGTCGCTTCTGCAAATAAAGAAGAAGAAAAAAAAAAAAAATAAGTAGTGGTAGCACAAAGTCTCTGCTATGCTCAGCCTGAACATGCCGCGCACACTTTTGGTAACTGGGGGACTTTCCGAACAAGCCGTCAACATCAGGCTGATCTTAGCTGCCTGATTGCACATGCCTGCTATCAGAGGGAAGTGCTACAATCGAAGCCATCTATCTTTCCCCAGTGGCAAGCGTTCAGATCTGTACATACAGCAACAATCACAGTCTACATGTTCACAACCTCTCTTTTTGTTGCTCAGTTCCCATTCATCCAAAGCAATCAGTCAAAGGGAAGCACACGAAGAGCTGTCAGAAAAAAAAAAAATCCAGCAGGAAAAAAGAAAACATCTATCCTTTTGCCTGTTTTCTGCAAAATTGTTCAATTACTCCCTCCCTTTTTCTGCTTCCTGGAGCCTTTCTTCCATTCTTTTTCTGAGCCAATAATGTTACTTACATACTCAGTATTCAGAACAGATACAATATTAAACCACTTAGCTTGATCAAGATGTATTGTACCATGCAGCTCTCCTGACAAGGCTGCCTAATTTCACAGAATCCCAAATATCCCTACACAAATTTCAGAGCAGAAAAGCACAGAGCATGGGAAATAACTCAAAATAGAAGAAGCTCTACTTACTGAAGCAACAACTTTGCATTCTGGGACACTTGAAAAAGGGAGTCAGATGCCAACTATTTTAATTATAAACATATTCATTCGTTATCTAGAACATGCAACCATTCCTCTCCAGTTTTACTGTGCTCTCTGCACCCCATTTCAGCTTCTCACCTTGCAGCCAGTCCTCCTGGCCTCAGATTGGAGACTCTTGGCTTTCCATCTTTGTCTGTGCCACCTGAAATGGTTAATCCAAGGGTGCTTCCTTCTTTCTTAATCAGCTCCACAATGGTGACCCCTCTGAACTCCTCTGAAAGATAAGGAGCAAAGGCAAACATCTCAGTGGAAGGCATGCTGCTCCCAATGCCAAGGACACCCCTTTTGTACAGGAGGTGTGTGAGCAGAGCTGAGAGGATTTATACAGTCAGCTTCCATTTATTTAAAACGAAACTGCGAAACAGAAGTGCGCGCTGCATGGACCCACAGCCGTGCAGGGAAAGCTTTTGCATGAAGGTCTTTCAGACAAGACCAAGAAGGACAAGGCAGAGGAGTGAGGGCTTGTGAGAGGATAAAAACTTTTCTGTTTCAAAGTGCTGGAGGCAGCAGAAGTACTCAAAATCAAGGTGATGGGATCTGGGCAGTGGTCTGGGGACACTACCTCAGGAATGACGTTTGATATGGAGCAGAGTGGGTGTTAGGAAAGCTGCGTGTCAGGCAGTCACAGTTACCAAGTAGGTTGCTGTGGACTTGCAGTAGCTGCCTGGATGGACAGAACAGGGTGGCTCTTAAAATACCATGATTCAAAAAATATCATGAGAAGAGCTGGGAGATAAAGAACGTAACGTGGAGAAGGTTGGGATCCTGCCATCACAGCAAGGGAAGGAGAGGAAGGCATGACCTTCGCTCATTCGTAGCAGTTTCCCCACCCATCTGCACGCGGTCTAAGTCAAATTTCCTCCCTATTACCCACCCCACCTACACCTAGAACGGAAGACACGAGTCACTTTTAAACATAGGTGGTTCCACAAGCGCTGCCCGCCATAATAAGTACGGCAGAGTCAGAGTTAGGGGATGCACACCCCATGCCTGCTGCACTAGCACTGCTTCTGTGTGCTGCAGGCAGCATACACTTGACCTTCCTTTAGTCCAAGGTGACGTTCTTTTTTGTCCACCACCTATATACAAGCCTGACCCGATGCCAGCTTTGATCTCATTACAGCTTATGTCTGAGTTTTACAAAAACAGGGTCCTTAAACTATTCCAAGTTCTGGATTTGACATGGAGGAGGGGAGTGAGCAGGAAAGCCAGTACTGGCCTGAGGAAAGACCAAGAGCTCTGTGAACTTGGCAAAAGGCAGCTCCACATTAATCCATGTGACAGCACTCGCACTCTTTGCTCAAAGGAGGACTAGCCCTGGGGCAAATCAGATGACTTTCATGCCTTGCCAGAGCCTCCTCTAAGAAGCTTTTGCAGAATTTATCTACAACATGATCCATTCACCTCCACTATCTCCAGCATACTAAAATCTCCCATAATTTTACAGGAGAAAAACAGTCTCCCTCATACAAGAGCACCTTTTGCCAAGTTTTTTTTTTTTGCCAAGATTGTGCAGAAGAAGGTGGGGATGGGCATTGGCAGCACACGCTAAACAGCAGCGCCACAGCTGTGGACAGAAATCCATGCACAACAAAACCCACCACGTTTAAATGAGATACTCTATTTGGAGAGGCAATATTTGAAATTTCTTGAACACTATGCTTTCCAGAGCAAGGCAACGTCTCTTAAATAACACATGTTCACAAAATATCCATGCTAGTGCAGAGCTTCCCCCTTCCATCCTCTTTTAATGAGAAAAAACACAGTGTCATTTGGCACTGTGGTGTCTCGTCGCCAGCACTTTGCTCCTTCTATAAGGCCACCATGACACCAGAAATTGCACCTTACATTGAGCCCTGCCATGGACTATCTGCTTTGTAAAGCACTTCCTGGAATAATCTGTGCACTTGATTAACACAAGCAGGGAACCTCTTTGCAATCTAGTGCCAGTCTGGAAGGTGTTTAGGCACTGCTGGGCACCCATTTAAGATGGCACTGGCAGCTCGTTGTAAAACATCAGGTCCATAATGCTTCTGCTCTTTAAACGCAGCTTTTATCCCTTGCCAACTACAGTAACTTAGTTTTCAATTCACCAGCCCAGGATCCCAGGGGCTGCCAGAAACTTTGTGGGCGCTCCCTGCCGTGCTGGAAGGAACACCATCCGGCACTACCCTGCAAATTTCCTCTCAACTACAGACATGATCAACACAGATGGTGCTGCAAGGGCAGATTATTAGCTCTTCAATAGGGTTTAATTTTGATCCTTGATAAGTGTTTAAAATGAGAACTCCCAGAGTGCAATTACTCATTGTTATGGGTTCAAGGAGAAATCACTGCTCTGAAAAAATGGCAAGTCCCTGAGATCAATCTATCAAGGGATTTTGACCAATGCCTCTATAAATCTACTGCTGCTATCACAGACACACACAGATGTAAAAGTGAACTGCTAAGGAGGATCTGGTCCTTCAAGACATCATTTTTAAGCGAGTAGTCTTGGATTTCTTCTATTGGCATGTATGCTTGGATTTTGCTGCTCAAAAGCATCCCAGAGCAGGAAGAGCACACCTGAATTTTGACCTCCGCATCATGATGCCTTGAGCTGGACATACTGTCTCTCATGAGCGGGCAGTCAGCCTCTCTCCATCAGCGCTGCGGTACAGCGGCAACATTTTGCAGAAGCTGCAGAGGATGCAGAACATCCCCTAGAAAAATTGCTGAATGATAAAGCAATAGCAAAAGGGCTCTGTTTCCTCCGCATCCCTTAGCACACACTAAACCAAACCTATGACTGGGTTATTAACGGTCAGAAGTCAAAACCAAGCCCTGGGCTTTATTAGGAAGGAGACAAGCTGTCCAGAGCAGCCCATCCAAACCAGGTGGCGTGCTACTGGCAGGCAAAGCCCAGCACCAACAGAGGGAACCGTACTACCAGCCCCCAGAGCTGTTTCAGGTTTATCTCACACAAAAGTCTGCTGTGACTGACTAAATATCAAAATAAACTTAGTCACACGTGGGAAATACGAAGCTTGCCAGACACTGCCAGCCTCCCTCCCCACCCAGCAAGCTCAGATGTGGCAGCACTTCTTCCCTCTCTCCTTTGCTGCTGTTTTCTTCTTTGTGGTTGTCAGATCAGGGCAGGAACCAGTTCTCTCCCAGCAACCTGTAACCACCATCAACAGCTCCATGCCAGACTGTGATCGCACCAGTAACATACCACTGAGACCAGTTACCACAATCCATTTCTGCCCTCCAGAGTAAGCCTTGCTGAGAGATGTGCCAAAATGAGTGCCTTGCATTTTCTTTACCCATTTTAGGGGTAGCCAGGTAAAGCGTAATGGATGCCCCGAAGTTTTAGAGCAGGAGCTGATCACCACTCCTTTACCTGGGATGCTTTGCCTTCTGGAGACCAGGGCTGCGTCCATCCCACCAGAGTCCTTGCTCCCCTTCGAGTAAGGGCCATCGTCTGTGAGCAGAGCAAACACAGAAGCTGAAGTTAGTACCAAAAGCAACCAACAACAGAACCAGAGCACTTTAAAAAGTCTGTCCTGATAACACTGGAATTGGGATCACATCTGTAACACAGAACATAGGCAAGAAAAATCATGACCAGCCCTTGTTTTGCACTCTGCTGTGTGGGCTGTCTTGGTTTTTAGAGAGAGAGGGGAAAAAACCAAGAAGGCAACATTATCTGATTTATTCCTCTTGGAGCTAATCCATTAGGAGAGAACAAAATTCCCTTACTCCTCTAATTATGTGGAACAGCTGAGGACAGAGAAAGCTGTGGTGGCATTAGTCTCACGAGTTTTAAGTCTGTCATTACGCTTGTGAAGAAACCTATGGTCTTTGGAAATGGAGTTATACATCAGGACACTAACAGGGCACTAAATCACCATACTTGAATGAAATTGCCTATTCTTATAGATCCCATTATTTCAAAGTCACATTTTCTTGCTGCTGTTTCAGTCTCTGTACAATATAGAGAGCACCTTCACTTAAGTGATTTTTTTTTTTTAAAAATGTCAGATGAAAGAGAAAAAAGAATTATCATGGAATCATAGAATGCTAGGGGTTGGAAGGGACCTTAAAAGATTGTCTAGTCCAACCTCCCTGCCAGAGCAGGATCACCTAGAGCAGGGCACACAGGATTGCATCCAGGTGGGTTTTGAAAGTCTCCAGAGAAGGAGACTCCACAACCTCTCTGGGCAGCCTGTGCCAGGGCTCTGTCACCCTCACAGTGAAA